TTCTCCACGCAGTGGTGACCACATGGAAGAGATGGATCCTGTCCTTCTTCTGTGGTTAGGAGGACAGTGATGCTGGGAGGGCCATGCAGTGCTGCAGGTTCATCCTTGGGGATAAACGCCCTTGTGAGATCAACAGCTAAGTAAGTTTCATCTGCTCTGCATTAAATAATGAAAGAATTGGAAAATTAATAGTGTTTCAGAGGAAATGGATGTGGAGTTTTGTAGCAAATGGCTTCTTTGAAGTGACACACTGTAATGAGAACGTTTATTTAAGAACATGAAGAAGGTTTGATTCGGAGCACATTCAGGTACATCCAGAGCACTGTTCTGTCTTCAAACAGATGGCTAAGGAATAATGACAGGACAGTCATCCCCTTAGTATTCCAACCTTTTTCACTCAAAATGATTTCCTGAGCCTGGTGCCATCTATGGATCACTTCACATTCGTCTATTCTGAATTTCACCTGATCCTTTATCACCCAGTGTCTGAGAGATCCTTTTACAGTTCTGTATTTACAAGGCATAAATGTAAGTAAATTAATTGCACAAAAGTAACATTTGCAGGTTATGTCCTAAACATGAACTGTTAGATGACAAGTAAAGTCCAACACTCACAAGCACAGGGCAGCAATTCTAGGGGACCCAGTATGGAAAGCAGCAGTCAAACATTCCTCTTCAGAGCAGTGGTGGGCACCAGGCTGCTAAAAGTGAAACCTAGCACTGAATTTAGTTTTTTTTGTTGATGACAAAGGGGTGCATTAAGGCAGCCTCTTTTGAATAAGATATCCTGTTTGAGGGTTGTGTTCACAGCTTTCATTCTACAGTGAGGGTTGTTGGGGTTTTTTTGTTGTTGTTGTTGGGGTTTTTTTTTTTTGTTTCAAGTTAATGCAAAATCTAGAAGAAATAACAAGGCAACCAACACCACAAAACAATGAAGCAAAGCCATAGGTTTCCATACAGCCAGCACTGTTGGCAGGAAAGATGCAGAATCAGAACTGGGTCCAATTCCATCCCCTGAACCGTAACCAACCACAGAAATTGAAGTTCCCTCTTAAGATGTTACCACTGAGGATGCATCGCAGTATCCTGCCCTGGGAAAGTTACCTTCCACTGCACGGATGGCCCCAGAAACTCCCTGGGCAATCTCCAGCTGGCTTTCCTTGTCCAAAGCTTTTAGGGAGGGCTGTGTGCTTCCTTGAGGCACACTGACAAGATGTGACAGGACTCTGAATTGATGGAGGTGGGAGTAGGGCTGTGGGACAACACCACGGCTATAAGAACCCAATAGAAACCTGGCTGTGGGAATGGGGGGCTGCAACAGAAGATGGGAATTGTAAATGTGCCCATATCACCAATTAAAGACTGGAACTGCACTTCAGACAAAAATGGATGCATTGGAACAATGTACATCATCATCGTTTTCCTGAGGAAGGCCCATAGGTGGTGCTGGAAGACACACAGCCTTGAGATTCAGTGCAGAACTACAGAAAGTCTCTGCAGTGTGCAGGAGATCAGAGCTGCAGAACAACGTACTGTTTGCTCCTGCCTGCAGCTGTAACTGTGCTGGAGGAGTGAATTGTCACCGGCTCCCAAAAGGTGGCAGCATTGGTGCTGATTTACCGACTGGCTGCACTTCCTGTAAGGCATCCAGAGATGAGGTGCACAAAGCCTGTGCAAAGCAACCTGCCTGTGCAAGGCTATCTTCTGGCACGAAGCAAACCTTTGACGTTTGGCCCTGCTATCAAATCCTCAGCCCAGGTATCAACAAGCAATGTGTGTGGCGATATCAGACCTGCTGATCGGGTTATAGGGCAGCACCATGGGAGGATGAGCACATGGGAGCAGTTGTGGTTTGCAAACTGTATTTTAAGGCACGTGAGGTTTATAGCACAAATATCCAGTGTGTAGTGTGGGTCCTGTACTGGAAACATGCAGTGGAAAGATGTGTGAGTGGTGTGTGAGAGCTGCAATTGAGATTTTCCAAAGCCCTTCAGAGCTGCAGCTCTGCAAAGAAAACGGGGCAGCAAGTTGCTCAGAAACCACAAACTCCATTTCACACCAGAAAAACTGTATGATGGAGTCTGGTTGGTTTTGGACCCCTCGATTTGAAACAAAACCTTGTGATTTGAGACTACAGCTTGAAACCTTCATTAAAATTACAGTTCCTCCTTACTGAAGAGATCAGATATTCTTATGTCAACAGCAGGTAGGGTCAGCAGTGCTGCAATCAGCACAGCCACGCGTCACACGCGCTCACCACAAGCCGATCGCTTGCAGGACCAAGCTCAGCGTAAGCAAGCAGTGCTGCGTCGCTGCTCAGCAGAAGGCACACAGGCGTCCTCCTCCAGCACCGCACTGATCCCACCAGCAGCACACACAGCTGCCCTGATGCAGCGCCGCCGTTTGGCTGCTCCTCCTGTGCTGCCCACCAGCACTGCACACCTCCCGCGGCCTGACATGTGCTCCTGCCCCACTCTGCTGTGACACAGCCAGACCGCGGGCACAGCGCTGACCCGGAGAAGCCGGGCAGCTCCGTGCTGCTGTGCAAAAGGCACCGCGGTGCTGGACAGCTGAGCCTTCCGTGGATCACCAATAAACCACTCACATCAATACTCAGATCTGATGTCCCAGTCTCCTATTTTCCAATATCTTCCCCACTGTAATTTTTATCTCGGTCTGCAAGTTGTTTGTTTTCATTGACAATTTCCATGAGGGCAGGGAGACCCAACATGCTTTCCCATCTCTGCACGCCCAGACAGCATTTCTTTATTCTCCCACATCATTGGCCACACATCTCAGCTTCCACTCCCTGTGTAAGTCCTTCTTATCCCTCAGTTTGCTCTCGTGCTCTCAGAAAGGCATCCTTAAAGGGCTGCCAGTTCTGCTACACTCCTTTGTCTGTAAGGACAGCTTCTCAGGGGATCACAGGCAGCAAATCCTTGAACAAACTGGATCCTTGTGATCCTCAAGATCACAAACTCCACCTGAGCATGGTCGCTGCAGCCTAGAGTGCATCCAATCTTAACCTCTTTAATGAGATCCTCTGAGCTGGTGGGGAACAGGTCCAGGAACATTACTCCTCTGGTCAGTTTGTCTAATACCTGGACCAGCAGACTATCTTCAGCACAGGAGTCTCCAGGATTGCTTGCAGCTCAGTGTGTTGCTTTCTCGTAGAACATCTAGGTGCTTGAAATCCCCCATCAAGATGAGAATGTGCCATTGTGACAATTCCTCCAACCAAAACAAGAAGGTCTCATCTATAGGCTCACCTGAACACATGGCTTGTAGTAGACCCTGACCACAAGATGTCCTTTGTTGCTTTGGAATGACTCATAGAAAAGTGGGAAGTAAGATATCCCTACTAAGAAAGGCAGTAAGTCTTCCTGGCCTCTCCTGTACTCCACTTGTAGAGGTTCATCTAACACACCTCTAATGACGACATGCTGTAATTAGGCAACCGTGCTCCATGGCAGGATGAGAATCCAGTCCCAAGAAACATTCAGCCCAATGCATTTGCCAACGGGTTCCCTTCCAACCCGTAGTGAACCACTCCAATGAGGAATTTTACTGCTTTGGTCGTAATGCTGGTGTAAGGCAGAAGCAGCTCAGTGCAGCACCTCACAAAACATGGGACAGCTTCAGCCATCCACACAGCATGGCCACAGGTTCATCTCCTGCCCCACGTTCCTCCAGCAGGCAGTGAAGTCATGCACTCCTCAAAGCTCCTGATCCCACTGCAAAGGCAGAATGGATTCTAGTTAGGCTGAGAAGAATATACTTACAGCAAACACAAACAGCATAACTTAGGTATCACAACAGGAGATGGACAGAGGTCTTAAGGACAACTGTTCACATTTCCTTAGTGGGATTCCAAGACATGGATTCTTGTAATGTTATTTAATGGATGGATGAATCAAATTTTCTCATTATATTGTAAAAAAAAAAAAAGCTGCTCTAATTTTGCTGACATCACAAGTCTTAACACATCAAAAAAAGCCCAGGATAACAGATTCTAGGAGGTTTCACAGCAGCTTTCCTTACTCACCCAAATGCTTTCAGGCCCAATGAGATGAGCCCAGTCATAACCAGACAATTTTGGCCCAATTTCTCACCAAACAGCACTTCCATCAGGCAGTAGTGCCTGGATTCTGGCATCCAGGAACAGGGGGCACATTTGCAAAAGAGGAATACAGCAACACGTCACAAATAGCAGTAGAGCCAGGAAGTAACAACAGAAAACACAAATAACACCAGCCCAGGGAAACTGTTGGTACTGTGTGTGCAAAGCTGCAGCACTTACCAATGTGTGAGTGGTCACCTGCAGGCAGCATCAAAGGCAATGAATGTTGACACGTATATTAGTCAGGGTGGAGGTCCTGGTGGTTGTAAAATAAAGCCACAAAAAGTCTGCTTTGAAAAAGTAAAAATTTGCATGCCACTGGGACATGTGGCTTTTTGGATGGGTTTCTCATCACAGACCTGCCTTGCACAAACTAGCATTTGCAAAACAATTGCAAAGAAGAACAGGGCTGGAGAAGTCAGCTACATGTCGGCAATATGTGGACTCAGAAATCAAAACTGCATATGAATTCATGCTGTAAAACATTCCCACTTCTTGTTTGCTCTGTAAGAAAACAGCATGCCTTGATATCCACACTGGACCACAGATGCATGAGCAAGTGAAGGTGGCAGAATCTTGGTCAAGAAATGTAGCCTGGGGCTGGACTACACATCATGGAATTTGTCCCATTTTGTGTAGATGTGGATGTTTGTGAGTGCTCCAAATGGCTGAGAGAAAGTAGCCTAGAATGGATGACTTAATTTCAAGAAGAACTGTTGTCAGTCTGAATGTCACGGCTGCGAAATCCATTAAAAACAGTGTTATGAGAGAACACAGCCCGAGTTCTGGATCTCTACTGGAGTTCTTCAGAAATCATTCTTTACTGAACCTTGGATGTTCACAGCAGAGGGTCCTGACGACATCACATCCTCTCCTATAAGTTACACAAGCTGCCTCCAACGTGCAGTGAGCAACATCACCCGCGCTCCGCTGCACCGCCCCGAGGACCATGGCTGGGTCTCCTGCACTGCTCCTCCTGCTCAGCCTGGGGCTCTGTGAGTATGGAAGCAGGCTTACGGGGCACCTGTGCTGGGAGGAAGGAGGACAATGGGTGAAGGCATTCCCCTTGCAGCACAGCCAAGAAAGTGGGCAAAACGGACCATGGGAAAAGAAAGGGCAAACCCATAGGACTGAATTCAGGGCTGCTCAGTGACTGCGCAGGGAAGCGTGAGCAGTGGGACTGCAGTGCAATAAGCAGCAGGAACAGAGCCTGTTCAGACAGGTGTTGCTGCAGAGGATGGGGAAGGGGAGAGAGGGGCATGTAGCAGTTGTTAGTGGGGAATCACCTGGCAAAGAAGTTGGGAAATGGCAGCAGCCCCAAGCAGGCATCTGAAGGGCTGCACTGAAGGGCAGCGTCCATCTCGAGAGCCCGGCACTCTCAACGCTGAGTCCTCAGGGACTCCAGCACAGCACCCAAGCATGCTGGATGCTGAGGCCCTCCCTCAGCATTCATCTCACAGCCCAGCTGCCTGCATGCCATGCACCGCACCAGCGGGGAAGAGCCCTGTCCAAAGGCCCGGAGAGCTCTTCCTGAGCAGCACCTGAGGGGACATGGCTGACTTCTGCCCACAGGCTGCACCGGTGCCCAGGGACAGAGGAACAAGATGGAGGCCAGGTTCCTCAACAGGAATTTGAAGCACCCCCAGGAGGGACAGCAATTGGAGCTGGAGTGCCTGCCTTACAACAGGGACAGCGGTGTTTCCTGGATTCGACAGGACAAGGATGGGAAACTTCACTTCATCGTCTACATTTCTGTGCTTTCTCGAACCACCTACCCAGGGAGCAAGACAACATCTCTGCGCTATGAGGCATCATGGACAGACTACACCTACAGGCTGGTGGTGAAGAGCTTCACAGCGCAGGATGAAGGGACCTATTTCTGCACCAGCAACATCAACCAGATGCTGCACTTCAGCTCTGGACAACCCGCCTTCTTCCCAGGTCAGCAGCAGCTTCACCCACCTCGCTTACACCCACCTCCCCTGCCCCTGCCTTCTCCATCCGCCCATCGCCCACACTCCCCATGTCCCTGCTTCTTTGCCAAGCCGTCTCATCACACACGCTCTGCTCCTCCCCAGAGAGGCTCCCTGCCCTCCAGCTCCGATCACGGTACAGCCCTGCCCAGACACACAGGTGGTTGAGCAGTCCAGCAGCTCCTCCCGATCCCATCAGTACCTCAGAGGGATGGGAAAAGGGTGGGAATGTTCACTTTATTGTGTCCAGTAACTCTCCATACAAAACAATCTCTCATGAAATAAGTGCCTCTGAGGGATGGGAGTTACCAAGTGCACAGAAACCCCAGCCTTCCTCACCTCACATGGATCTCTAGGTCCCAACAGCCTGAATACACTTACAGCACCTCAAAAAGAAACTCAGAAATCCCCACGTCTCTCAGGACAATTTTTATAACAGAAATAACAAAGAGCTCACACATGCTGAGGGTCTGATAAGAAATTAGGCGCCTGTTTCCAGGGCTGGTCACCATTCAAATGTGGTTTTCCTTCTGCTGGTCATGTCATGGCATGGATAGGAGGCTCTTCAGCTTTACCTCCCTTATTTCTTCTTTCCAGTCGCAACAACAGCAGCACCCACCACACACACAGCCACCACCCAGAGCAGCCAGGTCACCAAGAAGGACATCTCCTGGAACAGCCAAGATGCAGGTAACCCAGCTGCGAGGTGGCAGGGGCTCTGCCTGCAGTGCTGAATTGCTTGGAACAGCATGAATTCCAGGCTGTGCTGGCTGCAGGCATTTTGGGATGTCAGAAAAAGAGAAAATTCTAACCTTTCTCAGAGAGCTGCCAATGAGGGGATGAAACCACCTAAAGAGCTCTGAATTTCTGAAGGTGCTAGAAAGAAATTCTGAGCCCACAGCCCTCAGGTTTCCTGGCTGGGCAGCTCAGCAATGCAAGCAGACCTCACATCACAGTGTCAGGGAATCACAGCTCAAAATGGGCCTACAGAGCTCCTGAGTGCTGGCCACAGCGTCATCTATGGCCTGGCAAGACTGGGAGAAGACTCTTTTCTTGTATCTCACTGCATTCATCCATTTTTCCATCCACTCACAACAGCAGCAGAACACATCACACCCACTGCCATCACCCAGAGAAGCCAGGTCACCACGAAAGACAACTCGCAACAGGGCCCTCATGCAGGTAACCCAGCTGTGGGGAGGCAGGGGCTCTGCCAGCAGTGCTGCTTTGATCAGAAGAGGCCAAATTAAAGTCTATGCTGACTACAGGCATTTCAAGACACAGGGAGATGTCTGCTGCTGGGCATTTACTCTTTCCTCTCTCTCCTTTGATCCTACAGGAACAAGCAATGAGAACACACCAAGATTCTACTGTAAAATGGTCATGTGGATTAACCTGGCTGTCACCGGCCTCCTGCTCCTCACGGCCATCACCATCACCATCACACACTGCCAAAGTAAGTCGCACCCTGACACCCTGCAGAGGTTCCTGCAGCTTCACACCACAGAGCACAGCCTGCTCCCCAGGGGAATGGGCTCCCTGCCTACTGCCCTCATGCAGCCATTGTGTATCCAGGACACAGGGAATGCTGAAGGACATCCTTTTAAAATCCTTTTCTAAATTTTCCTCAGCTTTAGAATTAGCTTCAGAAATATTTATCACATTCTTCACTGTCAGACAAGAAATTATAAACACAGACCGCATTGGCTATGCCATCCTGAATCTGGTGTAAGTACCAGAACATAAATTTTACTGTACTATGTATTTTTGCCTTTCTACCTTCTTTGCCTTCTTTGGATTACCAATCAAGATGCATTAGAAGCATCAATTTCTGCAGTAGGAAGAAGAAGGACACATTTTTACATCACACCTCAGTTTTCTGCTGAAATTCCTGGCTCAACATTGCTATCAGCTGAATGCACCCTGAGGTAGTGATAGAGATGCCACAACAGGGAAGGGTACGGTTCAGGAAGATGGATATAGAGCTGCTCTAAGGCAGCTTAGAGACACCAGAGCAGCACAGGGCCTTCCAGAGAGTCTCCCAAAAAGCTGAACTAGGTATGGTCGAGTCACAACATTTTCTACTTCCAACTTGCAATAGAAAAAAAAAGATTGTGGTTTGAGACAAAATTGTTAAACCTTCGTTGGAGATTTTAATTCCACTTTCCTAACGAGATCAGATGTTCCCATGTAAACAGCAGGAAGGGTCAGCAGTGCTGCAATCAGCACAGCCACGCGTCACACGCGCTCACCACAAGCCGATCGCTTGCAGGACCAAGCTCAGCGTAAGCAAGCAGTGCTGCGTCGCTGCTCAGCAGAAGGCACACAGGCGTCCTCCTCCAGCACCGCACTGATCCCACCAGCAGCACACACAGCTGCCCTGATGCAGCGCCGCCGTTTGGCTGCTCCTCCTGTGCTGCCCACCAGCACTGCACACCTCCCGCGGCCTGACATGTGCTCCTGCCCCACTCTGCTGTGACACAGCCAGACCGCGGGCACAGCGCTGACCCGGAGAAGCCGGGCAGCTCCGTGCTGCTGTGCAAAAGGCACCGCTGTGCTGGACAGCTGAGCCTTCCGTGGATCACCAATAAACCAAGCATATCAGTACTCAGATCTGATGCCCCATTCTGTCAATTCCAAAGTCTTCCCTACAAGCTGGATGTAACTTTTACATATTTCAATGTCCAGTTTAGTTTAATTCATTATTGCAATAGAGGGCAGAGAGACTCATATTGAAACATGCTATCCCACTAATGTTGGCAAAACCAAAATTCCACGCTGAAGTCCCACTCCAAGTCATGTTGGAAGAAATGAGTGTCTGACTTCGGTCCATGACAGAAACTCTCTCCTACCTTCTGCAACTCAGATCTGCTGAGCAGGCACAGAGAAAAGTCATCCATGCTGCTGATCTACATTGCCTCCACAGGTGAAGGTTTTGGAGTAAATCTTCACCTGGAGGTCCTGCTACTGTCTGAAGCTTTTCAGAATAAAGTAATTGCCATTGGGACAGTCTTACTCGTTCTTATTTGTTACTAGGACTAGAAGGACTGGCCTCAAGTTGTGCCAGGGAAGATTCAGATTAGACGTTAGGAAATACTGCTTCCCCAAGAGAGTGGACAGGCTGCCTGGGGAGGTGGTGGAGTCACTGAAACTGGAGGCGTTCAAGAAAGGTTCAGATGTTGTATTGAGGGATGTAGGTTAATGGGAATATTGGTGATAATGGAACGGTTGAATTGGATGATCCTCGAGCTCTCCTCCAACCTTGGGAAATCTTATGATTTTACAGAACGGAGAAACTGCTTTGTGCTAAGAGATACAAACACAGAACTCAGGAAATGAAGATCCCTGCCCCAGCTAATTTGCTACTTAGGAGATGAAAGATGGAGACTCAGGAGTACAGTGGCTTCATCTGTTCACACACAGGTGTCTCCAGTAGAGCTAAACTTGCCTGGGTCCCCCTCTGGCCAGTGGAGTGTTTGCCTGCTCGGAAGGGATGCATGACAGCCCCATACTGCTCTGCTGCTCTCTCTCCACTGACAACATGCTTTCATCTTGCCTTAAAGTCAAATATTCACTGATAAATTCTTACAGGGAGCAGAAAGAAGCGATTCCCCCAAAAGCAGCCCTTACGACTCAGCAATATTGCCCTCATCCTGCATGGCACTCACAGTAGAATACATCAGAAGAGGCAGGGGCAGGATGTATCTTTGGTGTAGGAGTGACTCACAAAGATATACAACAAATCAAAATCTGAATATGAAGAGGAAAAGGAGTCCTCTGAACAGTGACACTGCACCCAGATTCTGAGCACATCACAGGATGCGGTGAGCTCATGTGGAAAAAACACCTTGGTGAGCCACAGGAACACTTCTGCACTTGGGAGACAAATATCTGGGTTCCTGTTTGGTATCTGGGATTGACCCACAGTGAAATAACGCTGTCAGTAGGGCAGAGGAGAGAAGTAAGAAGTCCCTACCAAGAAAGGCAAGCTCTCTTCCTGGCTTACCCCATTCTCCACTTGTAGAGGTTCTCCTAACACATCTCTGAACACGAGATGCTGTGGGTGGGCTACCATGCTCCATGGCAGGGTGAGAACCCAGTCCCAAGATACATTAAACCTAATGATTCCATCTCCAGGTCCCCGTCCTGTCCAACCACACTGAGCCACTAAAAAGAGAAATTTTACTAGTTGGTCACAGTGCTGGTGAAAAGCAGAAGCAGCTCAGTGCAGCACTTCACAAAACACGGTACGGCTTCAGCCATCCGCAAGGCATGCCCACAGCTTCAGCTCCTGCCCCACATACCTCCATCAGGTGGTAAAACCGGGCTCTCCCAAAGCTCCTGATCTCATTGCAAAGGCAGCGTGGATTCTGCTTAGCTTGAGGAGAATAAACTGACAGCAGGAGGAGCCCACACAAGCAGCGTAGCTCAGATGTCTCAATGGCAGATGGACTGTTCACATTTCCTTGATGGGATTTCAAGCCATACATGCTCGCAGTGGTATTTGATGGATCCAACAGATTCTCTGATTATTTTGTTAAGCTCTGCTCCAGCTCATGCAGACGTCACAAGGCTCACAGCCTCGTACCACCACAAGCCTCTCAGAGCTCAGCAGGCTTCACTCCGGCTTTCCTCACTCACCAAAGTGCTGCGAGGCCCACAGAAATGAGACCTCACTGAGAATTGCAGGCACAGCCATCCAACCAGATCCAACCAGGTGCGTTAGTTACACAAAAACAAGGCCACATAGCTGACCAGTTTTATCATTCTTTTTGCTTCTATTTTTAACATTCTAATAAAAGTATTAAAAATCAAACTGATTTCTTATTTATACGTTAAGGATTTATCACAGAATCACAGAATGGCCAGGGTTCAAAGGGACCTCAAGGATCATGAATCTCCAACCCCCTGCCACATGCAAGGCCAACAACCTCTGCATTTAATACCAGAATAAGCTACCCAGGGCCATGTCCACTCTGGCCTTGAACACCTCCAGGGATGGGGCATCCACAACTTCTCTAGGCAGCTGTTCCAGCACCTCACCACTCTCTCCGTAAAGAACTTCCCTTGATATCCAACCTAAATCTCCCCTCCCTCAACTTCAAACCATTTCCCTTTGTCCTGCAGTTATCAACCCTTTCAAAGAGTTGGCTCCCCTCTTATTTATAGGCTCCCTTTAGGTACTGAAAGGCTGCAATCAGGTCACCCCACAGCCTTCTTTTCTCCAGGCTGAACAAGCCCAGCTCCCTCAGCCTGTCTTCATAGGGGAGGTGCTCCAGCCCCCTGATCATCTTTGTGGCTCTCCTCTGGACCCTCTCCAACAGCTCCCTTCTTTGTTGTACTGGGGGCACCAGACCTGGACACAGTACTCCAGATGGGGCCTCACAAGAGCAGAGTAGAGGGGGACAATCACCTCCCTGTCCCTGCTGGCCACCCCAATAAATATAGTCTATTGAGAAAACACTGCTCTGAAAGTAACACCATCTGTTTTATTCAGCTGGTCCATGTGTTCAGAGGCAGATGTTGGTGGTATGGCAGTAGAAGCAGAACCTTCCCACCAGTTTTCCATCACGTTTTGTTGCCACGTGACAGACAGCAGCAGAGGGGCAGTCTGACAAAACAGCATCCAACCCAGAAATGAGCACTGAAGTCATCTGTGCAGAATAAATGGCACCCACTGACATTCCTTGATGTTTGTTGCATGTTTCTGGAGACCAAACAGTGGCTGTGAGCACAGTGAGGCTCTGGGAGGAGCATTTCAGCAGCAGCAACAGTGACAGCGGTCACCAGTGCTGGTGCCTAACACTGCTCCTCATCACTCAATGCAGCCCAGGCATGACGAATTATTGCACACCCATGGAGTCACGGAAAAACTTCTCGTAAGTGAAAAGGAAGAAAAAATAGCAAACAAACAGGATAACCAGGAACTACCCAAAGAAGAAGCAAATAATGCCAGGATAGTGAAACAGTCGCTAATTCATGTGCAAAGCTGCAGGAAGTCCAAACCACTACCAACGTGTGAGTGGTCAACTAGAGACAGCAGCAAGGGCCTCAAATGTAGAAGCACACAAGGGTTATTTGGCAGGACGGAAGTGCTTGTGGTTGGAGAAGAAAGTCACAAGATGTAAAAAAATAAAAGTAAAAAATAATCTGCATGGCACTGGGGCATAAGGCTTTCTTGATGGCTATCACAGCAGAGACCTCCTGCCTGCAGCTTCTGCACAGAAATTACAAGGAACAATTACAGAGAACAACTAACATACAGAACTCAGCCACATGTTCACAACGCACGGACTCTGAGATGAAAAATGGATCAAAGTCTAAGTGGAAGAGAAAAAATGAAAATAGAAAAAATAAAATAAAATCTCTGACCCAAAATACAACGTGCAGTCCATGTCCATCGAAGAGGACTTGCCCTGGTTTCCTGTAGCTCTGCTCATGATGCAAGCAACCAAAAAATCTAGGAGACTGCAGTAGGTGGTGACAGAACAGACTTCAAGAAGGACCACTGAAAGCCTGAATCTCAGCTGAAGACATTGCAGCAAAACCCCGGAGGCACCATTAAAAACAATGCTAAAATGACAAATGAACCCAACTTCTGGATCACAACTGAAGTGCTGCAGAGATCTTTCCTCACTCTGTTTCACCTCAGATGCTGAACAAGGAATCTTCACAGAAGAGGGTCCTGACGACATCACATCCTCTCCTATAAGTTACATAAGCTGCCTCCAACATGCAGTGAGCAACATCACCCGCGCTCCGCTGCACCGCCCCGAGGACCATGGCCGGGTCTCCTGCACTGCTCCTCCTGCTCAGCCTGGGGCTCTGTGAGTATGGAAGCAGGCTTACAGGGCACCTGTGCTGGGAGGAAGGAGGACAATGGGTGAAAGCATTCCCCTTGCAAAACACCAAGAAGCCAGGCAAAACAGACAAAAGGGAAAGAAATGGCAAATCCAAAGGATGGAATTCAGGGCTGCTCAGTGACTGTGCAGGGGATGGAGTGGTGAGACTGCAGTGCGATACGCATCATACGTTCAGACAGGTGTTGCTGGAGGGGATGGGAAAGGGGAGAGAGGGGGCACGTAGCAGCTGCTAGGGGGAAAAACTTAGGAGAACCTGGGAAATGGCAACAGCCCCGAGGAGGCAGCTGAAGGGCTTCTCTGAAGGGCAGCACCCATCTCGAGAGCCCGGTGCTCACAATGCTGAGTCCACAGGGATTCCAGCACAGCACACAAGCATGCTGGATGCTGAGGCCCTCTTTCCACATTCACCTCACAGCCCGGCTGCCTGCCTGCCATGCACCGCACTGGCAGGGAAGAGCCCTGCCCAAAGGCCCCAGGAGCTCTTCCTGAGCAGCACCTGAGGGGACATGGCCGACTTCTGCCCACAGGCTGCACTGGTGCCCAGGGACAGAGGAACAAGATGGAGGCCAGGTTCCTCAACAGGAATTTGAAGCACCCCCAGGAGGGACAGCAATTGGAGCTGGAGTGCCTGCCTTACAACAAGTTCCTAGGTATCCACTGGATCCATCTAGGCAAGGATGGGAATCTTCACTTCATTGTCTCCAGTACCCCCATCCCCAGGAACACATTCCAGGGGAACAAGATAACATCTCCGAAGTTTGAAGCAAGGTGGACAGGAAACTTCTATTGGCTGGTGGTGAAGAACTTCACAACGCAGGATGAAGGGACCTATTTCTGCACCAGCAACATCAACCAGGAGCTGCACTTCAGCTCTGGACAACCCGCCTTCTTCCCAGGTCAGCAGCAGCTTCACCCACCTCGCTTACACCCACCTCCCCTGCCCCTGCCTTCTCCATCCGCCCATCGCCCACACTCCCCATGTCCCTGCTTCTTTGCCAAGCCGTCTCATCACACACGCTCTGCTCCTCCCCAGAGAGGCTCCCTGCCCACCAGCTCTGCTCATGGTCACACTGCTCCGTAGCTCCTCCCCATATCCTCAGAACCTCAGAGGGATGTGAATTTCAGAGTCCACAGCTGACACATCCTTTCCAACTTGCATCTGGCCCTCTAGGTCCCAACAGCCTCCATATGCTGACAGCACCTCAAAAACATACTGAGTAATCCCCATGACTCTCAGGATATGTTTAATATAGGGATAACAACAAGCTCACACACACTGAGGTGGCTGATTAGAAATTAGGAACCAAAATCATTCTGTTTCCAGGGCTGAGCAGCATGTAGTTCACCTGTTCAAAGTCGATGCTATAAAAGTTCTTCCTCTGCTGGCTGCATCCTGGCCTGGACAGGAGGAAGCTCTTTAGTTATACCTCACTATACTCACTTATTTCTTATTTCCAGTCATAATCAGTCATAAATCCAGGCAGATTTATTGCATATTGCTGAATTCATTCTTTTCTCCTTCCAGTCACAACAGCAGCACCCACCACACACACAGCTACCACCCAGAGCAGCCAGGACTCCATGAAGGACAACTCACAACAGGGCCCGCATGCAGGTAACAAAGCTGTGGGGAGGCAGGGGCTCTGCCAGCAGTGCTACTTTGATCAGAAGAGGCCAAATTAAAGTCTATGATGACTGCATTTCAAGATACAGGGACATGTCTGCAGCTGAGTCTTTCCTCTATCCTCTCTTTCTTTCTGCAGGAATAAGCAACAAAAACACACTGAAGTCCATCTGTGATCTTTTCCTCTGGGTTCGAGTGGCTGGCATTGGCCTCCTGCTCCTCACTGCCATCACCATCACCATCACACACTGCCAAAGTAAGTCGCACCTGACAGCCTGCAGAGGTTTCTGCAGCCTCACACCACAGAGCACAGCCTGCTCCTACAGGGGAATGGGCTCCCTGCCTACTGCCCTCATGCAGCCACTGCGCATCCAGGACACAGGGAATGCAGAAAGATGCTCCTTAACCTCTCTTTGAATCCTTTTCCAAAATCATTTTCCTTTAACCATTCTTTAAAATCCTTTTCCAAATTTTCCTCAACTTCAGGATAAGCTTCAGAAATATTTATCATATTCCTCACTAACAGGCAAGAAATTGTAAACTCAGACATCTTCCTCTACCAAACTGCATTGGCTATACCATTCTGAACCTTGTGTAAGTACCAGAACACAAACTAGATTTTCTGCTGAAATTCCTGGCTCAACATTGCTATCAGCTGAATGCACCCTGAGGTAGTGATAGAGATGCCACAACAGGGAAGGGTACGGTTCAGGAAGATGGATATAGAGCTGCTCTAAGGCAGCTTAGAGCCACCAGAGCAGCACAGGGCCTTGCAGAGACCCTCCCAAAAGGCTGAACTAGGTATGGTCGAGTCACAACATTTTCTATTTCCAACTTCCATTAGAAAAAAAAGATCGCGGTTTGAGACAAAATTGTTAAATCTTCACTGGAGATTTTATTTCCTCTTTACTAACAAGATCAAATGTTCCCATGCTAAGAGCAGGAAGGGTCAGCAGTGCTGCAATCAGCACAGCCACGCGTCACACGCGCTCACCACAAGCCGATCGCTTGCAGGACCAAGCTCAGCGTAAGCAAGCAGTGCTGCGTCGCTGCTCAGCAGAAGGCACACAGGCGTCCTCCTCCAGCACCGCACTGATCCCACCAGCAGCACACACAGCTGCCCTGATGCAGCGCCGCCGTTTGGCTGCTCCTGCTCAGGATCACACCCTCAATCACACCCAAAACTCAGCTCTCATACCCCACCTCTCACTTCTGAAGTCCTACCGATTAAAACCAACTCATTCTTAACGCTCTCAGTGTGTTCTTTGGATTCATTCACAGTTCTCATAGGGGCAGAGGGACTGAGCATTCTACAATCAACACCAGTAATGGTTAAATAAAAGAAGTCGACTGCCAGCTATATTGAAATATATATGGTTGTCTGAGCAGGGAGCCCTGGTGGGAAATCTCTCCCAGCTTTTCCAACTGAATTCCCCTCTGCAGGGAACGAGATCATTCATCTCAAACTCACGACCTCCTGAGCCCATTCCAAAACATGTCACAATCTCCCATCTCTCCAGGATTTTGTATATCTTCTCCACAGCTATACATCATTGATTAATTGATTCATGAAAATAAATAAAAATCAATTTCACCACAGTCTTTACTAGTAATATATTGTGATGCGTCTGTTACAAAGGGCAGGAAGAATCTCCAAACCTGAGAGCTCATCTCTCCTTTCCAGCTCTCTCAGTTGCACTATCAGTGCTGCTGATGTTCACTCCTCAGCAGGTAGCACTCTGCACAACTTTGGATAGGTGGATCTGAAACATCACAGTTGACTCTTGGCTGACTTCAGTTACCCCACTCTACCTGGCTTCACAGCAGCTTTTCTTACTCACCCAAATGCTTTCAGGCCCAATGAAATAAGCCCAGCCATAAACAGACAATTTTGGCCCAATTTCTCACCAAACAGCACTTTCATCAGACAGCAGGGCCAGGATTCTGGCATCAGGAACAGGGGGAACATTTGCAAAACAGAAACACAACAACACATCAGAAATAACCAGAGAGCCAGGAAATAACACCAGAAGACACAAATAACACCAGCCCAGGGAAACTGTCACTACTGTATGTGCAAAGCTGCAGGAAGCCCAGCACTTACCAATGTGTGAGTGGTCACCTGCAGGCAGCAGCAAGGGCCCTCAGTGCTGAGGACCTTTCTGGGCTTTTTTGGCAGGGGGGAAGTCCCTGTGGTTGTAGAACAAAAACAAAGAAATTTAAATTAAAAAAAATAAGTCTGCATGAGTCGGGGACATAGGGCTGCAGTGATGGCTACCAAATCACAGACCTCCTGCCCTGCACAAGGTGGGTTCTGCACAGAAAGCATGAAGAAGAAATGTGGAGAACAGCTGAGCTGAAGCACTCAGCTACATGGCAGCAATGCATGGACCATGAGATGAGAAGTGCACACGGATCAATCTGAAAATAGAATAATAGATTAAAGTATACTTAATAAAGTATAATAAATAAGGTATAGAATAAGGTATACTAAAATGAAAGCTAATGCCAAAAAATAGCATTGCAGCCCATGCCAATGGCAGGGGATTTGTCCTTATTATCTGCAAATAGCGACATGATGATTGTGCCCCAAATGGCTGAGAGACAGCAGTTGGTGGCGGATTTGATTTCAAGCATGAAATTGTCAATGTCAGAGTCTGAAATGAAGACATCATAGCAAACACCATTTGGCATCACCAAAAACAACTCTATTCTGATAAACCAGCTCAAGTTCTAGATCAACAACTGAAGTGCTGCAGAAATCATTCTTTTCTGAATGCCAGCTCTTCACAGCAGAGGGTCCTGATGACATCACATCCTCTCCTATAAGTTACACAAGCTGCCTCCAAAGTGCAGTGAGCAACATCACCCGCGCTCCGCTGCACCGCCCCAAGGACCATGGCTGGGTCTCCTGCACTGCTCCTCCTGCTCAGCCTGGGGCTCTGTGAGTATGGAAGCAGGAAGGATGCAATTCAGGGCTGCTCAGTGACTGCGCAGGAAAGTGGGAGCGGTGGGACTGCAGTGCGATACGCAGCAGGAACAGAGCCTGTTCAGACAGGTGTTGCTGGAGGGGAAGGGGATGGAGAGAGAGGGGGCATGTAGCAGCTGTTAGTGGGGAATCACCTGGCAAAGAAGCTGGGAAATGGCAGCAGCCCTGAGCTGGCAGCTGAAGGGCCTCTGTGTCCTTGTTTTCTGCAGACCTGGATGTGAAGTGAGTGGGAAACATCAGCCTGTGGTGGTTCACTCAATTTCGATAAGGATCACTGCCAATCTAATCTCAGCTGAAGACACTGCAGCAAAATCCCTGAGGCACCATTAAAAACAACACTATCACGATAAATGAGCCCAAGTTCTGGATCCCAATGAAGTGCTGCCGAAATCTTTTCTCACTGTGTTTCACATGAGAGGCTGAACAATGGCTCTTCACAGCAGAGGGTCCTGATGACATCACATCCTCTCCTATAAGTTACATAAGCTGCCTCCAACGTGCAGTGAGCAACATCACCCGCGCTCCGCTGCACCGCCCCGAGGACCATGGCTGGGTCTCCTGCACTGCTCCTCCTGCTCAGCCTGGGGCTCTGTGAGTATGGAAGCAGGAAGGATGCAATTCAGGGCTGCTCAGTGACCATGCAGGGAAGCAGGAGCAGTGGGACTGCAGTGTGATACGCAGCAGGAACAGAGCCTGTTCAGACAAGTGTTACTTGAGAGGATGGGAAAGGGGAGAGAGGGGCATGTAGCAGCTGTTAGTAAAGGAAAAACTCTGGAGAAGCTGGGAAATTGGCAGCAGTCCTGAGTAGGCAGCTGAAGGGCTGTTCTGAAGGGCAGCATCCATCTCGAGAGCCGGCAGCCTGCCTGCCACGCACTGCACTGGCTGGGAACAGCCCTGCCCAAAGGCCCCGGGAGCTCTTCCTGAGCAGCACCTGAAGAGACATGGTTGATTTCTTTCCACAGGCTGCACTGGCGCCCAGGGGCAGCGGGATGCAGTAGTGGTCAGGTTCCCCAACAGGAGGAACATACAGCCCCAGGAGGGACAGCGGCTGGAGTTGGACTGCTGGAGAAACACAACGTCCTGGAGAGTAACCTGGATCCGCCTGGATAAGGATGGGAACCTTCACTTCATTCTCTCTAATTTCCTTTCAAACACCACCGCATTTTATGGGGGTGAGAGAACATCCCTGAGCTTTGAGGCATCATGGAGAGAGAAAACTTCTAGGCTGGTGGTGAAGTCCTTCAGGGAAGAAGACGAGGGAATCTATTTCTGCATCAACTACATCAACCCAGGGCTCCACATCAGCTCTGGACAACCCGCCTTCTTCCCAGGTCAGCAGCAGCTTCACCCACCTCGCTTACACCCACCTCCCCTGCCCCTGCCTTCTCCATCCGCCCATCGCCCACACTCCCCATGTCCCTGCTTCTTTGCCAAGCCGTCTCATCACACACGCTCTGCTCCTCCCCAGAGAGGCTCCCTGCCCACCAGCTCTGCTCTGACGGATATCAGTTACAAAGTCCACAGCCACCTCCTTCCTCTCCTCACATAATCCTGAATGTCCTGACAGCCTCCCTATGTTTACAGCACCTCAAACAGTCACTCACCGGTGAGGTGGAGGTTGCAGTGTGGAAAGAAAAGTTTCCCAGGTCTCTCAAAACATTGTTCCTGATAAGAAAGATCTCTAAGTGTGCTGCCAAGGAATTAGGAACCCTAGGACTTCTCTTTCCATCCTTGGGCATTGTTACAGTGCAACACTTTTCAAAATGGGTCCTACAAATTCCCTGTGTTGCCTGTGTACTGAAGGGATGGCAGAAGGCAGATTTATGGCATATTGCTGAATTCATCCATTTCTCCTTACTGTCACAACAACAGCAGCACCCACTGCCACCAACCAGAGCAGCAAGGTCAACACGAAAGACAACTCGCAACAGGGCCCGCATGCAGGTAACCCAGCAGTGGGGATGCAGGGGCTCTGCCAGCAGTGCTGCTTTGGGTATAAGAGGCCAAATTAAAGTGCGTGCTGGCTACAAGCATTTCAGGATGCAGGCAGATGTCAGCAGCTTGGCCTTTCCTCTTTCCGCTCTCTCCTTTCTTCTTGAAGGAGCAAGCAATGAGAACATGCCGAGTTTCTACTGTGAAGTAGTCATGTGGGTGAACCTGGCTTGTGCCTGCTTCCTGCTCCTCACTGCCATCACCATCACCATCACGCACTGCAGAGGGAATCGCCAGTGAAAGTAAGTGCCAGTGAAGATCCATGAGCTGCATTAATATCTGCAGCAAGCAGCACAAATGCTGAAGGAGAGATTGTTACACAACAACTGCATTCACTGCTAAATTTTTGGCTCAGCGTTGTAGTTCACCAAAAGCAATTCACAGTAATTGCAGAGAAGCAAAAAGGGGAGGAGTATCGTAAAGGGAGGTCAATCCTGACGGTCTCTAAGTCAGCTTATAGGTACCACAGTGCCTTTAAAAACCTCAGCTTTTATTTACAACTGGGTATTTTTCTTCATTGTCAAACCTCAATTTCACAGGCACGATTGTGATTGAAGAGTAAATTCAGAAATCTTCATTAATGCTTCAGATTCCTCCTTGCTAAATGGGTCAGATGCTCTCATGCTAAGAGCAGGAAGGGTCAGCAGTGCTGCAATCAGCACAGCCACGCGTCACACGCGCTCACCACAAGCCGATCGCTTGCAGGACCAAGCTCAGCGTAAGCAAGCAGTGCTGCGTCGCTGCTCAGCAGAAGGCACACAGGCGTCCTCCTCCAGCACCGCACTGATCCCACCAGCAGCACACACAGCTGCCCTGATGCAGCGCCGCCGTTTGGCTGCTCCTGCTCAGGATCACACCCTCAATCACACCCAAAACTCAGCTCTCATACCACACCTCTCACTTCTGAAGTCCTCCCGATTAAAACCAACTCATTCTTAACGCTCTCAGTGTGTTCTTTGGATTCATTCACAGTTCTCATAGGGGCAGAGGGACTGAGCATTCTACAATCAACACCAGTAATGGTTAAATAAAAGAAGTCAACTCCCAGCTATATTGAAATATATATGGTTGTCTGAGCAGGGAGCCCTGGTGGGAAATCTCTCCCAGCTTTTCCAACTGAATTCCCCTCTGCAGGGAACGAGATCATTCATCTCAAACTCACGATCTCCTGAGCCCATTCCAAAACATGTCACAATCTCCCATCTCTCCAGGATTTTGTATATCTTCTCCACAGCTATACATCATTGATTAATTGATTCATGAAAATAAATTTAATAAAATTCAATTTCACCACAGTCTTTACTAGTAATACACTGTGATGCGTCTGTTACAAAGGGCAGGAAGAATCTCCAAACCTGAGAGCTCATCTCTCCTGTCCAGCTCTCTCAGTTGCACTATCAGTGCTGCTTATGTTCACTCCTCAGCAGGTAGCACTCTGCACAACTTTGCGTAGGTGGATCTGAAACATCACAGTTGACTCTTGGCTGACTTCAGTTACCCCACTCTAACTGGCTTCACAGCAGCTTTTCTTACTCACCCGAATGCTTACAGGCCCAATGAAATGAGCCCAGCCATAAACAGACAATTTTGGACCAATTTCTCACCAAACAGCACTTTCATCAGACAGCAGGGCCAGGATTCTGGCATCAGGAACAGGGGGAACATTTGCAAAACAGAAACACAACAACACATCAGAAATAACCAGAGAGCCAGGAAATAACACCAGAAGACACAAATAACACCAGCCCAGGGAAACTGTCACTACTGTATGTGCAAAGCTGCAGGAAGCCCAGCACTTACCAATGTGTGAGTGGTCACCTGCAGGCAGCAGCAAGGGCCCTCAGCATTGAGGACCTTTCTGGGCTTTTTTGGCAGGGTGGAAGTCCCTGTGGTTGTAGAATAAAAACACAGAAATTTAAATTAAATAAAAATAAGTCTGCATGAGTCAGGGACATAGGGCTGCAATGATGGCTACCAAATCACAGACCTCCTGCCCTGCACAAGGCGGGTTCTGCACAGAAAGCATGAAGAAGAAATGTGGAGAACAGCTGAGCAGAAGCACTCAGCTACATGGCAGCAATGCATGGACCATGAGACGAGAAGTGCACACGGATCATTTGATAAATGCAATAGAATAAGATATATTAAAATAAAATCCACTGCATAAAATACAACTGCAGTCCACAACAACGGCACAGGACTTCTCCTGGTTATCTGCAAATATGGACATGATGAGAGTGCCCCAAAATGCTCAGACAGCAATTTATGGCTGCTGATTTGATTTCAAGCATGAACACTGTCAGTCAGAGTCTCAAATGTAATCATCACAGCAAACACCATTTGGCATCACCAAAACCAACTCTATTCTGATAAACAGCTTCGAGTTCTAGGTCAACAACTGAAGTACTGCAGAAATCATTCTCTTCTGAATGCCAGCTCTTCACAGCAGAGGATCCTGATGACATCACATCCTCTCCTATAAGTTACACAAGCTGCCTCCAACGTGCAGTGAGCAACATCACCCGCGCTCCGCTGCACCGCCCCGAGGACCATGGCCGGGTCTCCTGCACTGCTCCTCCTGCTCAGCCTGGGGCTCTGTGAGTATGGAAGCGGGAAGGATGCAATTCAGGGCTGCTCAGTGACTGCGGAGGAAAGCGGGAGCGGTGGGACTGCAGTGCGATACGCAGCAAGGGGGATGGATGCTGGACGGGATGGGAAAGGGGAGAGAGGGGCATGTAGCAGCTGTTAGTGGGGAATCACTTGGCAAAGAAGCTGGGAAATGGCAGCAGCCCCAAGCAGGCAGCTGAAGGGCTGCTCTGAAGGGCAGCATCCACCTTGAGAGCTGGATGCCAAAGCTCTCCCTCCACATTCACCTCACAGCCCAGCTCTGCCTGCCTGCCATGCACCGCACCAGCGGGGAAAAGCCCTCTCAAAGGGCCCAGGAGCTCTTCCTGAGCAGCACCTGAGGGGACATGGCCAACTTCTGCCCACAGGCTGCACTGGTGCCCAGGGACAGAGGAACAAGATGGAGGCCAGGTTCCTCAACAGGAATTTGAAGCACCCCCAGGAGGGACAGCGGCTGGAGCTGGAGTGCCTGCGTTACCAGAGGAACAGACCCCTCTTCTGGATCCGACTGGAGAAAGATGGGAGACTTCACTTCATTGTCTCCTGCTACCCATGGTACTCTACCACCTATTATTGGGGTGACAAAAAATCTACGCAGTTTGAGGCATCACTGAGAGACAACACCTTCAGACTGGTGGTGAAGTCCTTCAGGGCACAGGATGAGGGCACCTATTTCTGCGTCAACTACATCAACCAGGAGCTGCACTTCAGCTCTGGACAACCCGCCTTCTTCCCAGGTCAGCAGCAGCTTCACCCACCTCGCTTACACCCACCTCCCCTGCCCCTGCCTTCTCCATCCGCCCATCGCCCACACTCCCCATGTCCCTGCTTCTTTGCCAAGCCGTCTCATCACACACGCTCTGCTCCCCCCCATAGAAGCTCCCTGCCCTCCAGCTCCGCTCGCAGTACCATCAGCCCTCTAAGAGCCAACACCCTCCATATGCTTACAGCACCACAAAAAGAAACTCAGAAATCCCCATGACTTTTAACACGTTTTATAACAGGGATAACAGACAGCTCGCACATACAGAGGGGGCTCATTAGAAATTACGAGCCCAGATCCTTCTGTTTCCAGGGCTGGGCAGCATGTGAAACCATCACTGGTCAAAGGAGACCCTCTAGAAGTTCTTCCTCTTCCGGCCATGTCCAGGCACAGATTGGAGGAAGCTCTTCTGTTGTGCCTCACTGTATTCACTCATTTCTTCTTTCCAGTCACAACTACGGCAGCACCCACCACACACACAGCCACCACCCAGAGCAGCCAGGTCACCACGAAAGACAACGCACAACCGGGCCCAGATGCAGGTAACCCAACTGTAGGGTGGCAGGGGCTCTGCCAGCAGTGCTGCTTTGATCAGAAGAGGCCAAATTAAAGTTTGTGCTGACTACAAGCATTTCAGGACGCAGGCAGATATCAGCAGCTAGGCCTTTCCTCTTTTCTCTCTCTCTTTCTTCCTGCAGGAACAAGCAATGAGAACACACCAAGATTCTACTGTAAAATGGTCATGTGGATTAACCTGGCTGTCACCGGCCTCCTGCTCCTCACGGCCATCACCATCACCATCACACACTGCCAAAGTAAGTCGCACCCTGACACCCTGCAGAGGTTCCTGCAGCCTCACCCCACAGAGCACAGCCTGCTCCCCAGGGGAATGGGCTCCCTGCCTACTGCCCTCATGCAGCCATTGTGTATCCAGGACACAGGGAATGCTGAAGGACTGCTCTTAGAATTTTCTATTCCGTATTTTCCTCCTCACTAGCTTTAGATTCAGAAATATTTATCACATTCTACACTTACAGACAACAAGCTGTAAACAGGTTGTATTGGAGTTCTTACCAGAAATTATAAACAGACAAGAAATCACAAACTGTGTTGACTCTGCCATCCTGATATCACCATCTTGGGGTTGAAATTGCCTGAATTCACAACATTACTCAGCCATTCATTTTGGCCTTTTCACACTGGTCAGGATTACCAGTGAAGATCCATTAATTTCTGTAGCAAGCAGCACTAATGCGAAAGGTGAGATTGTTACACAACAACTGCATTTGCTGATAAATTTCTGGCTCAACATTCTGATTCACTGGAAGAAATCGACAGTAGTGACAGAGAAGCAAAATGGGCAGGTTGATTCTGAAGGGCTTTAAGTCAGCTTACAGCCAACACAGTGCCTTTCACAGACTGCCTAAAAGAGGCACACGGTATTTCAATTTACTGTTTTCGAACTTCAACTGCAAATGCAAGATTGTGATTGAAGAGTAAATTCAGAAATCTTCATTGATGCTTCGGATTCCTTCTTGCTAAATTGGTCAGATGTTCCCATGCTAAGAGCAGGAAGGGTCAGCAGTGCTGCAATCAGCACAGCCACGCGTCACACGCGCTCACCACAAGCCGATCGCTTGCAGGACCAAGCTCAGCGTAAGCAAGCAGTGCTGCGTCGCTGCTCAGCAGAAGGCACACAGGCGTCCTCCTCCAGCACCGCACTGATCCCACCAGCAGCACACACAGCTGCCCTGATGCAGCGCCGCCGTTTGGCTGATCCTGCTCAGGATCACACCCTCAATCACACCCAAAAACTCAGCTCTCATACCCCACCTCTCACTTCTGAAGTCCTACCGATTAAAACCAACTAATTCTTAACACTCTCAGTGTGTTCTTTGGATTCATTCATAGTTCTCATAGGGGCAGAGGGACTGAGCATTCTACAATCAACACCAGTAATGGTTAAATAAAAGAAGTCAACTCCCAGCTATATTCAAATATATATGGTTGTCTGAGCAGGGAGCCCTGGTGGGAAATCTCTCCCAGCTTTTCCAACTGAATTCCCCTCTGCAGGGAACGAGATCATTCATCTCAAACTCACGACCTCCTGAGCCCATTCCAAAACATGTCACAATCTCCCATCTCTCCAGGATTTTGTATATCTTCTCCACAGCTATACATCATTGATTAATTGATTCATGAAAATAAATAAAAATCAATTTCACCACAGTCTTTACTAGTAATATATTGTGATGCGTCTGTTACAAAGGGCAGGAAGAATCTCCAAACCTGAGAGCTCATCTCTCCTGTCCAGCTCTCTCAGTTGCACTATCAGTGCTGCTGATGTTCACTCCTCAGCAGGTAGCACTCTGCACAACTTTGTGTAGGTGGATCTGAAACATCACAGTTGACTCTTGGCTGACTTCAGTTACCCCACTCTAACTGGCTTCACAGCAGCTTTTCTTACTCACCCAAATGCTTACAGGCCCAATTAAATAAGCCCAGCCATAAACAGACAATTTTGGACCAATTTCTCACCAAACAGCACTTTCATCAGACAGCAGGGCCAGGATTCTGGCATCAGGAACAGGGGGAACATTTGCAAAACAGAAACAACAATACATCAGAAATAACCAGAGAGCCAGGAAATAACACCAGAAGACACAAATAACACCAGCCCAGGGAAACTGTCACTGCTGTATGTGCAAAGCTGCAGGAAGCCCAGCACTTACCAATGTGTGAGTGGTCACCTGCAGGCAGCAGCAAGGGCCCTCAGCATTGAGGACCTTTCTGGGCTTTTTTGGCAGGGTGGAAGTCCCTGTGGTTGTAGAACAAAAACTCAAGAATTTAAATTAAATAAAAATAAGTCTGCATGAGTCAGGGCCATGGGGGTGTAGTGATGGCTACCAGATCACAGACCTCCTGCCCTGCACAAGGCGGGTTCTGCACAGAAAGCATGAAGAAGAAATGTGGAGAACAGCTGAGCTGAAGCACTCAGCTACATGGCAGCAATGCATGGACCATGAGATGAGAAGCACACATGGATCAATTGATAAATGCAATAGAATAAGATATATTAAAATAAAATTCACTGCATAAAGTACATCATGAAGTCCACAACTATGGCTTTGGACTTCTCCTTGTTATCTGCAAATATGGACATGATGAGAGTGCCTCAAATGGCTCAGACAGCAGTTTGTAGCTACTGATATGATTTCAAGCATGAACACTGTCAGTCAGAGTCTCACATGAAGTCACCATAGCAAACACCGTTTGTCATCACCAAATTAAAGTTTGTCCTGGCTACAAGCATTTCAGGATGCAGGCAGATATCAGCAGCAAGGCCATTCCTCTTTCCTCTCTCTCTTTCTTCCTGCAGGAACAAGCAACAAGCACACAACAAGATTCTACTGTAAAAAGGTCATGTGGATTAACCTGGCTGTCACCGGCCTCCTGCTCCTCACTGCCATCACCATCACCATCACGCACTGCCAAAGTAAGTCGCACCCTGACACCCTGCAGAGGTTCCTGCAGCCTCACACCACAGAGCACAGCCTGCTCCTACAGGGGAATTGGCTCCCTGCCTACTGCCCTCATGCAGCCACTGCGTATCCAGGACACAGGGAATGCTGAAGGACTGCTCTTAGAATATTTTTTTCCATATTTTCCTCCTCACTAGCTTTAGATTCAGAAATATTTACCATATTCTACACTTACAGACAACAAGCTGTAAACAGGTTGTATTGCACTTCTTAACAGAAATAATAAACAGACAAGAAATCACAAACTGTGTTGACTCGGCCATCCTGATATCATCAAACTGGGGTTGAAATTGCCTGAATCCAAAACGTTATTCAACCGTTTATTTTGGCCTTTTCACACTGGTCAGGATTACCAGTGAAGATCCATTAGCTGCATTAATTTCCCCAGCATGCAGCACTAATGCTGAAGGTGAGATTGTTACACAACATCTGCATTTGCTGATAAATTTCTGGCTCAACATTCTGATTCACTGGAAGAAATCGACAGTAGTGACAGAGAAGTAAAATGGGCAGGTTGATTCTGAAGGGTTCAAGTCAGCTTATAGCCAACACAGTGCCTTTCACAGACTCTGCCTAAAAGTAGTACTCGGTATTTCAATTTACTGTTTTCAAACTTGAACTGCAAATGCAAGATTGTAATTGAAGAGTAAATTCAGAAATCTTCATTGATGCTTCAGATTCCTCCTTGCTAAATGGGTCAGATGCTAAGAGCAGGAAGGGTCAGCAGTGCTGCAATCAGCACAGCCACGCGTCACACGCGCTCACCACAAGCCGATCGCTTGCAGGACCAAGCTCAGCGTAAGCAAGCAGTGCTGCGTCGCTGCTCAGCAGAAGGCACACAGGCGTCCTCCTCCAGCACCGCACTGATCCCACCAGCAGCACACACAGCTGCCCTGATGCAGCGCCGCCGTATGGCTGATCCTGCTCAGGATCACACCTTCAATCACACCCAAAACTCAGCTCTCATACCTCAACCTCCCTCTCACTTCCAAGGTCTTCCCAAATAAACTCTTCTAACTCTTAATGCTCTCAGTGTGATCTGTGGTTTCATTCACAATTTCCAGAGGGGCAGAACGACTGATCATGCCACAATCAACAGCAGTATTGCTTCAAAAAAAGAAAAAAATCCAGTCCAAACTACATTGAAATATATATGTCTGTCTGAGCAGGGATCCATGGTGGGAAATCTCTCCCAGCCTTTTCAACTGAAAGCCCCACAGCAAGCACTGAGGCTAGTGGCCTCCTGCAGAAACCAGCTCCATCTGTGAGCCACAAGGACCAAGAGGAAGGGCAGCTCTGTGTTTAGGAGGGAAACTTCTGGGTACCTGTTAGGTAGCTGGGAATGACCCACAGTAGAATCACACTGTCACAGGGAGAAAAGAGGGAAGAAAGACATCCACACTGAGGCAGGCAATAGCCCTTCCTGGCTTATCCTGCAGTCCAGCTGTAGAGCTTCTCCTCACACGACTCTGAACATGAGATGCCGTGGGTAGGCAACCGTGCTCCATGGCAGGGAGAGAATCCAGTCCCAGAAATGTGCAAACATCCTCATTTGCCAGCAGCTCCCCTTCCAGATCAACCATTCTGATCCTCAGAAATCAGGAATTTTCCTACTTTGGTCACAGTCCCAGTGTAAGGCAGAAGCAGATTGCTTCAGCACCTCACAAAATACGGGACAACATCAGCCATCCACAAGGCATGGCCATCGGTTCAGCTCCTCATCCCATTGCAAAGGCAGCACGGATTCTGCTTTGGTTGAGGAGAAGAAACTGACAACAGGAAGAGCCTACGCAAGCAGTATAACATACGTGTCTTGCTGGGAAATGGATGGAGGCCTAAGAGTCCACAGTTCTGACGTGCTTGATGGGATTTCAAGGATCAAGTTGTGTTCTGTAATAGATTAACCCTCTTTCTCTTCTTTTTGCAACACATCTGATCAACTTCAGGCCAACCTCACATGTCTTACAGCCTCATAATACCTTGTTCCTTCTGTTTCACAGACCTCAGCAGGCCTCACTCCGGCTTTCTGCTCTCACCACAGTGCTTGGAGGCTCAATGAGATGAGCCCACTTCCCAAACACTTTCCGCTCATTTGCTCACACAACTGTGGTTCCAGCAGTCAGAACTGCCTGGCTTGTTAACATCCAGAGGGTTTTCTTGCAAAGCTAATAGAACAGTGCCTCACACGTTGTCAGAACATAGCAGGAAAGCCAGAAAATCCCCAGGGAAGAAGCAAATAACACCAGCCTCGAGGAACCGTTGTGACTGTATGTGCAAAGCTGCAGGAAGACAAAATGCTTAGCAGTGTGTGAGGTCACTTACAGACAGCGGGCAGCCTCAGAGTGTTAAAACAGGTACAGTGGGACGGTTGTTCTTTACTCTAGAAAGGGCGGAAGCGCCTGTGGTTGAAGAAGAAAACCAAAAGGACATTATAAAGACATAAACTCAGCATACTACTGGGACAGATGGCTGTCTTGATCAATGCCATACCACAGAGCTCCTGCCTTGCACACAGCAGCTTCTGCAGAGAAACCAGAAAGAGATGCAGAGACCAGCTGAGCTGCAGAACTCAGCTACATGTCAGCAGTGCACGGATTCTGAGATAACGTGCAGATGGATAGGTGCTGTAACCCATTCCCAGGTATTCTTTAACCTGTAACTTGAATAAAATAAAATACAATCTCCCTAAGAAAAACAACAAGATGTCCATACCCATGGCCCCAGTCTTGTCCTTGTTTTCTGCCGACCTGGATGTGAAGTGAGTGGGAAATATCAGCCTGTGGTGGTTCACCCAATTTCGATAAGGATCACTGCCAATCTAATCTCAGCTGAAGACACTGCAGCAAAATCCCTGAGGCACCATTAAAAACAACACTATCACGATAAATGAGCCCAAGTTCTGGATCACAATGAAGTGCTGCCGAAATCTTTTCTCACTGTGTTTCACATGAGAGGCTGAACAATGGCTCTTCACAGCAGAGGGTCCTGATGACATCACATCCTCTCCTATAAGTTACACAAGCTGCCTCCAACGTGCAGTGAGCAACATCACCCGCGCTCCGCTGCACCGCCCCGAGGACCATGGCCGGGTCTCCTGCACTGCTCCTCCTGCTCAGCCTGTGGCTCTGTGAGTATGGAAGCGGGAAGGATGCAATTCAGGGCTGCTCAGTGACTGCGCAGGGAAGTGGGAGCGGTGGGACTGCAGTGCGATACGCAGCAGGAACAGAGCCTGTTCAGACAGGTGTGAGACAGGAGGGGATGGGGAAGGGGAGAGAGGGGGCATGTAGCAGTTTTTAAGGGGGAATCACCTGGCAAAGAAGCTGGGAAATGGCAGCAGCCCAGAGGAGGCAGCTGAAGGACTTCTGTGAAAGACAGCATCCATCTGAAGAGCCCGGCGCTCTCAACACTGAGTCCCCAGGGACTCCAGCACAGCACCCATGCATTTACATTAACCTCGCAGCCCAGCTGCCTGCCTGCCACACACCACACCTGTGCGGAAGAGCCCTCCTCAAAGGCCTCAGGAGCTCTTCCTGAGCAGCACCTGAGGGGACATGGCCAACTTCTGCCCACAGGCTGCACTGGTGCCCAGGGACAGAGGAACACGATGGAGGCCAGGTTCCTCAACAGGAATTTGAAGCACCCCCAGGAGGGACAGCAGCTGGAGCTGGAGTGCCTGCGTTATGAGAGAAACAGACCCCTCTTCTGGATCCGCCTGGACAAGAGTGGGAACCTTCACTCCATCTCCAGTACCCATTCCTATTCTACCACCTTGCAGGAGAGTGAGAAAACAGCACCAAACTTTGAGGCGTTATGGAGAGGAAGCTTCTATCGGCTGGTGGTGAAGAGCTTCACAAGGCAGGATGAGGGCACCTATTTCTGCGTCAACTACATCAACCCGGTGCTGCACTTCAGCTCTGGACAACCCGCCTTCTTCCCAGGTCAGCAGCAGCTTCACCCACCTCGCTTACACCCACCTCCCCTGCCCCTGCCTTCTCCATCCGCCCATCGCCCACACTCCCCATGTCCCTGCTTCTTTGCCAAGCCGTCTCATCACACACGCTCTGCTCCTCCCCAGAGAGGCTCCCTGCCCACCAGCTCTGCTCTGACGGATATCAGTTACAAAGTCCACAGCCACCTCCTTCCTCTCCTCACATAATCCTGAATGTCCTGACAGCCTCCCTATGTTTACAGCACCTCAAACAGTCACTCACCGGTGAGGTGGAGGTTGCAGTGTGGAAAGAAAAGTTTCCCAGGTCTCTCAAAACATTGTTCCTGATAAGAAAGATCTCTAAGTGTGCTGCCAAGGAATTAGGAACCCTAGGACTTCTCTTTCCATCCTTGGGCATTGTTACAGTGCAACACTTTTCAAAATGGGTCCTACAAATTCCCTGTGTTGCCTGTGTACTGAAGGGATGGCAGAAGGCAGATTTATGGCATATTGCTGAATTCATCCATTTCTCCTTACTGTCACAACAACAGCAGCACCCACTGCCACCAACCAGAGCAGCAAGGTCAACACGAAAGACAACTCGCAACAGGGCCCGCATGCAGGTAACCCAGCAGTGGGGATGCAGGGGCTCTGCCAGCAGTGCTGCTTTGGGTATAAGAGGCCAAATTAAAGTGCGTGCTGGCTACAAGCATTTCAGGATGCAGGCAGATGTCAGCAGCTTGGCCTTTCCTCTTTCCGCTCTCTCCTTTCTTCTTGAAGGAGCAAGCAATGAGAACATGCCGAGTTTCTACTGTGAAGTAGTCATGTGGGTGAACCTGGCTTGTGCCTGCTTCCTGCTCCTCACTGCCATCACCATCACCATCACGCACTGCAGAGGGAATCGCCAGTGAAAGTAAGTGCCAGTGAAGATCCATGAGCTGCATTAATATCTGCAGCAAGCAGCACAAATGCTGAAGGAGAGATTGTTACACAACAACTGCATTCACTGCTAAATTTTTGGCTCAGCGTTGTAGTTCACCAAAAGCAATTCACAGTAATTGCAGAGAAGCAAAAAGGGGAGGAGTATCGTAAAGGGAGGTCAATCCTGACGGTCTCTAAGTCAGCTTATAGGTACCACAGTGCCTTTAAAAACCTCAGCTTTTATTTACAACTGGGTATTTTTCTTCATTGTCAAACCTCAATTTCACAGGCACGATTGTGATTGAAGAGTAAATTCAGAAATCTTCATTAATAATTTTGATTCCTCCTTGCTAAATTGGTCAGATGTTCCCATGCTAAGAGCAGGAAGGGTCAGCAGTGCTGCAATCAGCACAGCCACGCGTCACACGCGCTCACCACAAGCCGATCGCTTGCAGGACCAAGCTCAGCGTAAGCAAGCAGTGCTGCGTCGCTGCTCAGCAGAAGGCACACAGGCGTCTTCCTCCAGCACCGCACTGATCCCACCAGCAGCACACACAGCTGCCCTGATGCAGCGCCGCCGTTTGGCTGCTCCTGCTCAGGATCACACCTTCAATCACACCCAAAACTCAGCTCTCATACCCCACCTCCCACTTCTGAGTTACTCCCGATTAAAACCAACTCATTCTTAACCCTCTCAGTGTGTTCTTTGGATTCATTCACAGTTCTCATAGAGGCAGAGGGACTGAGCATTCTACAATCAACACCAGTAATGGTTAAATAAAAGAAGTCGACTCCCAGCTATATTGAAATATATATGGTTGTCTGAGCAGGGAGCCCTGGTGGGAAATCTCTCCCAGCTTTTCCAACTGAATTCCCCTCTGCAGGGAACGAGATCATTCATCTCAAACTCACGACCTCCTGAGCCCATTCCAAAACATGTCACAATCTCCCATCTCTCCAGGATTTTGTATATCTTCTCCACAGCTATACATCATTGATTAATTGATTCATGAAAATAAATAAAAAACAATTTCACCACAGTCTTTACTAGTAATATATTGTGATGCGACTGTTACAACGGGCAGGAAGAATCTCCAAACCTGAGAGCTCATCTCTCCTGTCCAGCTCTCTCAGTTGCACTATCAGTGCTGCTGATGTTCACTCCTCAGCAGGTAGCACTCTGCACAACTTTGGATAGGTGGATCTGAAACATCACAGTTGACTCTTGGCTGACTTCAGTTACCCCACTCTACCTGGCTTCACAGCAGCTTTTCTTACTCACCCAAATGCTTTCAGGCCCAATGAAATGAGCCCAGCCATAAACAGACAATTTTGGCCCAATTTCTCACCAAACAGCACTTTCATCAGACAGCAGGGCCAGGATTCTGGCATCAGGAACAGGGGGAACATTTGCAAAACAGAAACACAACAACACATCAGAAATAACCAGAGAGCCAGGAAATAACACCAGAAGACACAAATAACACCAGCCCAGGGAAACTGTCACTACTGTATGTGCAAAGCTGCAGGAAGCCCAGCACTTACCAATGTGTGAGTGGTCACCTGCAGGCAGCAGCAAGGGCCCTCAGCATTGAGGACCTTTCTGGGCTTTTTTGGCAGGGTGGAAGTCCCTGTGGTTGTAGAACAAAAACACAGAAATTTAAATTAAAGAAAATAAGTCTGCATGAGTCAGGGACATAGGGCTGCAGTGATGGCTACCAGATCACAGACCTCCTGCCCTGCACAAGGCGGGTTCTGCACAGAAAGTATGAAGAAGAAATGTGGAGAACAGCTGAGCAGAAGCACTCAGCTACATGGCAGCAATGCATGGACCATGAGACGAGAAGTGCACACGGATCATTTGATAAATGCAATAGAATAAGATATATTAAAATAAAATCCACTGCATAAAATGCAACTGCAGTCCACAACAACGGCACAGGACTTCTCCTGGTTATCTGCAAATATGGACATGATGAGAGTGCCCCAGAATGCTCAGACAGCAATTTATGGCTGCTGATTTGATTTCAAGCATGAACACTGTCAGTCAGAGTCTCAAATGTAATCATCACAGCAAACACCATTTGGCATCACCAAAACCAACTCTATTCTGATAAACAGCTTCGAGTTCTAGGTCAACAACTGAAGTACTGCAGAAATCATTCTTTTCTGAATGCCAGCTCTTCACAGCAGAGGATCCTGATGACATCACATCCTCTCCTATAAGTTACACAAGCTGCCTCCAACGTGCAGTGAGAAACATCACCCGCGCTCCGCTGCACCGCCCCGAGGACCATGGCCGGGTCTCCTGCACTGCTCCTCCTGCTCAGCCTGGGGCTCTGTGAGTATGGAAGCGGGAAGGATGCAATTCAGGGCTGCTCAGTGACTGCGCAGGGAAGTGGGAGCAGTGAAACTGCAGTGTGTTACGTAGCAAGGGGGATGGATGCCGGACGGGATGGGAAAGGGGAGAGAGGGGCATGTAGGAGCTGTTAGTGGGGAATCACCTGGCAAAGAAGCTGGGAAATGGCAGCAGCCCCAAGCAGGCAGCTGAAGGGCTGCTCTGAAGGGCAGCATCCACCTCGAGAGCTGGATGCCAAAGCTCCCCTTCCGCATTCCCCCTCACAACCCAGCTGCCTGCCTGCGACTCACTGCTCTGGTGGGGAAGAGCCCTGCCCAAAGGCCCCAGGAGCTCCTTCTGAGCAGCACCTGAGGGGACATGGCCGACTTCTGCCCACAGGCTGCACTGGTGCCCAGGAACAGAGGAACAAGATGGAGGCCAGGTTCCTCAACAGGAATTTGAAGCACCCCCAGCAGGGAGAGCGGCTGGAGCTGGAGTGCCTGCATAATGAGAGATACAGACCTCTCTTCTGGATCCGACTGGAGAAAGATGGGAGACTTCACTTCATTGCCTCCTACTACCCATGGTACTCTACCACCTATTATTGGGGTGACAAAAAATCTACACAGTTTGAGGCATCACTGAGGGACACCTTCAGACTGGTGGTGAAGTCCTTCAGGGCACAGGATGAGGGCACCTATTTCTGCGTCAGCGACATCAACCAGGTGCTGCACTTCAGCTCTGGACAACCCGCCTTCTTCCCAGGTCAGCAGCAGCTTCATCCACCTCGCTTACACCCACCTCCCCTGCCCCTGCCTTCTCCATCCGCCCATCGCCCACACTCCCCATGTCCCTGCTTCTTTGCCAAGCCGTCTCATCACACACACTCTGCTCCCCCCCATAGATGCTCCCTGCCCTCCAGCTCCGCTCGCAGTACCATCAGCCCTCTAAGAGCCAACACCCTCCATATGCTTACAGCACCACAAAAAGAAACTCAGAAATCCCCATGACTTTTAACACGTTTTATAACAGGGATAACAGACAGCTCGCACATACAGAGGGGGCTCATTAGAAATTACGAGCCCAGATCCTTCTGTTTCCAGGGCTGGGCAGCATGTGAAACCATCACTGGTCAAAGGAGACCCTCTAGAAGTTCTTCCTCTTCTGGCCATGTCCAGACACAGATTGGAGGAAGCTCTTCTGTTGTGCCTCACTGTATTCAGTCATTTCTTCTTTCCAGTCACATCTACGGCAGCACCCACCACACACACAGCCACCACCCAGAGCAGCCAGGTCACCACGAAAGACAACGCACAACCGGGCCCTCATGCAGGTAACCCAACTGTAGGGTGGCAGGGGCTCTGCCAGCAGTGCTGCTTTGATCAGAAGAGGCCAAATTAAAGTTTGTGCTGACTACAAGCATTTCAGGACGCAGGCAGATATCAGCAGCTAGGCCTTTCCTCTTTCCTCTCTCTCTTTCTTCCTGCAGGAACAAGCAATGAGAACACACCAAGATTCTACTGTAAAATGGTCATGTGGATTAACCTGGCTGTCACCGGCCTCCTGCTCCTCACGGCCATCACCATCACCATCACGCACTGCCAAAGTAAGTCGCACCCTGACACCCTGCAGAGGTTCCTGCAGCCTCACCCCACAGAGCACAGCCTGCTCCCCAGGGGAATTGGCTCCCTGCCTACTGCCCTCATGCAGCCATTGTGTATCCAGGACACAGGGAATGCTGAAGGACTGCTCTTAGAATATTTTTTTCCATATTTTCCTCCTCACTAGCTTTAGATTCAGAAATATTTATCACATTCTACACTTACAGACAACAAGCTGTAAACAGGTTGTATTGGAGTTCTTACCAGAAATTATAAACAGACAAGAAATCACAAACTGTGTTGACTCTGCCATCCTGATATCACCATCTTGGGGTTGAAATTGCCTGAATTCACAACATTACTCAGCCATTCATTTTGGCCTTTTCACACTGGTCAGGATTACCAGTGAAGATCCATTAATTTCTGTAGCAAGCAGCACTAATGCGAAAGGTGAGATTGTTACACAACAACTGCATTTGCTGATAAATTTCTGGCTCAACATTCTGATTCACTGGAAGAAATCGACAGTAGTGACAGAGAAGCAAAATGGGCAGGTTGATTCTGAAGGGCTTTAAGTCAGCTTACAGCCAACACAGTGCCTTTCACAGACTGCCTAAAAGAGGCACACGGTATTTCAATTTACTGTTTTCGAACTTCAACTGCAAATGCAAGATTGTGATTGAAGAGTAAATTCAGAAATCTTCATTGATGCTTCGGATTCCTTCTTGCTAAATTGGTCAGATGTTCCCATGCTAAGAGCAGGAAGGGTCAGCAGTGCTGCAATCAGCACAGCCACGCGTCACACGCGCTCACCACAAGCCGATCGCTTGCAGGACCAAGCTCAGCGTAAGCAAGCAGTGCTGCGTCGCTGCTCAGCAGAAGGCACACAGGCGTCCTCCTCCAGCACCGCACTGATCCCACCAGCAGCACACACAGCTGCCCTGATGCAGCGCCGCCGTTTGGCTGATCCTGCTCAGGATCACACCCTCAATCACACCCAAAAACTCAGCTCTCATACCCCACCTCTCACTTCTGAAGTCCTACCGATTAAAACCAACTAATTCTTAACACTCTCAGTGTGTTCTTTGGATTCATTCATAGTTCTCATAGGGGCAGAGGGACTGAGCATTCTACAATCAACACCAGTAATGGTTAAATAAAAGAAGTCAACTCCCAGCTATATTCAAATATATATGGTTGTCTGAGCAGGGAGCCCTGGTGGGAAATCTCTCCCAGCTTTTCCAACTGAATTCCCCTCTGCAGGGAACGAGATCATTCATCTCAAACTCACGACCTCCTGAGCCCATTCCAAAACATGTCACAATCTCCCATCTCTCCAGGATTTTGTATATCTTCTCCACAGCTATACATCATTGATTAATTGATTCATGAAAATAAATAAAAATCAATTTCACCACAGTCTTTACTAGTAATATATTGTGATGCGTCTGTTACAAAGGGCAGGAAGAATCTCCAAACCTGAGAGCTCATCTCTCCTGTCCAGCTCTCTCAGTTGCACTATCAGTGCTGCTGATGTTCACTCCTCAGCAGGTAGCACTCTGCACAACTTTGTGTAGGTGGATCTGAAACATCACAGTTGACTCTTGGCTGACTTCAGTTACCCCACTCTAACTGGCTTCACAGCAGCTTTTCTTACTCACCCAAATGCTTACAGGCCCAATTAAATAAGCCCAGCCATAAACAGACAATTTTGGACCAATTTCTCACCAAACAGCACTTTCATCAGACAGCAGGGCCAGGATTCTGGCATCAGGAACAGGGGGAACATTTGCAAAACAGAAACAACAATACATCAGAAATAACCAGAGAGCCAGGAAATAACACCAGAAGACACAAATAACACCAGCCCAGGGAAACTGTCACTGCTGTATGTGCAAAGCTGCAGGAAGCCCAGCACTTACCAATGTGTGAGTGGTCACCTGCAGGCAGCAGCAAGGGCCCTCAGCATTGAGGACCTTTCTGGGCTTTTTTGGCAGGGTGGAAGTCCCTGTGGTTGTAGAACAAAAACTCAAGAATTTAAATTAAATAAAAATAAGTCTGCATGAGTCAGGGCCATGGGGGTGTAGTGATGGCTACCAGATCACAGACCTCCTGCCCTGCACAAGGCGGGTTCTGCACAGAAAGCATGAAGAAGAAATGTGGAGAACAGCTGAGCTGAAGCACTCAGCTACATGGCAGCAATGCATGGACCATGAGATGAGAAGCACACATGGATCAATTGATAAATGCAATAGAATAAGATATATTAAAATAAAATTCACTGCATAAAGTACATCATGAAGTCCACAACTATGGCTTTGGACTTCTCCTTGTTATCTGCAAATATGGACATGATGAGAGTGCCTCAAATGGCTCAGACAGCAGTTTGTAGCTACTGATATGATTTCAAGCATGAACACTGTCAGTCAGAGTCTCACATGAAGTCACCATAGCAAACACCGTTTGTCATCACCAAATTAAAGTTTGTCCTGGCTACAAGCATTTCAGGATGCAGGCAGATATCAGCAGCAAGGCCATTCCTCTTTCCTCTCTCTCTTTCTTCCTGCAGGAACAAGCAACAAGCACACAACAAGATTCTACTGTAAAAAGGTCATGTGGATTAACCTGGCTGTCACCGGCCTCCTGCTCCTCACTGCCATCACCATCACCATCACGCACTGCCAAAGTAAGTCGCACCCTGACACCCTGCAGAGGTTCCTGCAGCCTCACACCACAGAGCACAGCCTGCTCCTACAGGGGAATTGGCTCCCTGCCTACTGCCCTCATGCAGCCATTGCGTATCCAGGACACAGGGAATGCTGAAGGACTGCTCTTAGAATATTTTTTTCCATATTTTCCTCCTCACTAGCTTTAGATTCAGAAATATTTACCATATTCTACACTTACAGACAACAAGCTGTAAACAGGTTGTATTGCACTTCTTAACAGAAATAATAAACAGACAAGAAATCACAAACTGTGTTGACTCGGCCATCCTGATATCATCAAACTGGGGTTGAAATTGCCTGAATCCAAAACGTTATTCAACCGTTTATTTTGGCCTTTTCACACTGGTCAGGATTACCAGTGAAGATCCATTAGCTGCATTAATTTCCCCAGCATGCAGCACTAATGCTGAAGGTGAGATTGTTACACAACATCTGCATTTGCTGATAAATTTCTGGCTCAACATTCTGATTCACTGGAAGAAATCGACAGTAGTGACAGAGAAGTAAAATGGGCAGGTTGATTCTGAAGGGTTCAAGTCAGCTTATAGCCAACACAGTGCCTTTCACAGACTCTGCCTAAAAGTAGTACTCGGTATTTCAATTTACTGTTTTCAAACTTGAACTGCAAATGCAAGATTGTAATTGAAGAGTAAATTCAGAAATCTTCATTGATGCTTCAGATTCCTCCTTGCTAAATGGGTCAGATGCTAAGAGCAGGAAGGGTCAGCAGTGCTGCAATCAGCACAGCCACGCGTCACACGCGCTCACCACAAGCCGATCGCTTGCAGGACCAAGCTCAGCGTAAGCAAGCAGTGCTGCGTCGCTGCTCAGCAGAAGGCACACAGGCGTCCTCCTCCAGCACCGCACTGATCCCACCAGCAGCACACACAGCTGCCCTGATGCAGCGCCGCCGTATGGCTGATCCTGCTCAGGATCACACCTTCAATCACACCCAAAACTCAGCTCTCATACCTCAACCTCCCTCTCACTTCCAAGGTCTTCCCAAATAAACTCTTCTAACTCTTAATGCTCTCAGTGTGATCTGTGGTTTCATTCACAATTTCCAGAGGGGCAGAACGACTGATCATGCCACAATCAACAGCAGTATTGCTTCAAAAAAAGAAAAAAATCCAGTCCAAACTACATTGAAATATATATGTCTGTCTGAGCAGGGATCCATGGTGGGAAATCTCTCCCAGCCTTTTCAACTGAAAGCCCCACAGCAAGCACTGAGGCTAGTGGCCTCCTGCAGAAACCAGCTCCATCTGTGAGCCACAAGGACCAAGAGGAAGGGCAGCTCTGTGTTTAGGAGGGAAACTTCTGGGTACCTGTTAGGTAGCTGGGAATGACCCACAGTAGAATCACACTGTCACAGGGAGAAAAGAGGGAAGAAAGACATCCACACTGAGGCAGGCAATAGCCCTTCCTGGCTTATCCTGCAGTCCAGCTGTAGAGCTTCTCCTCACACGACTCTGAACATGAGATGCCGTGGGTAGGCAACCGTGCTCCATGGCAGGGAGAGAATCCAGTCCCAGAAATGTGCAAACATCCTCATTTGCCAGCAGCTCCCCTTCCAGATCAACCATTCTGATCCTCAGAAATCAGGAATTTTCCTACTTTGGTCACAGTCCCAGTATAAGGCAGAAGCAGATTGCTTCAGCACCTCACAAAATACGGGACAACATCAGCCATCCACAAGGCATGGCCATCGGTTCAGCTCCTCATCCCATTGCAAAGGCAGCACGGATTCTGCTTTGGTTGAGGAGAAGAAACTGACAACAGGAAGAGCCTACGCAAGCAGTATAACATACGTGTCTTGCTGGGAAATGGATGGAGGCCTAAGAGTCCACAGTTCTGACGTGCTTGATGGGATTTCAAGGATCAAGTTGTGTTCTGTAATAGATTAACCCTCTTTCTCTTCTTTTTGCAACACATCTGATCAACTTCAGGCCAACCTCACATGTCTTACAGCCTCATAATACCTTGTTCCTTCTGTTTCACAGACCTCAGCAGGCCTCACTCCGGCTTTCTGCTCTCACCACAGTGCTTGGAGGCTCAATGAGATGAGCCCACTTCCCAAACACTTTCCGCTCATTTGCTCACACAACTGTGGTTCCAGCAGTCAGAACTGCCTGGCTTGTTAACATCCAGAGGGTTTTCTTGCAAAGCTAATAGAACAGTGCCTCACACGTTGTCAGAACATAGCAGGAAAGCCAGAAAATCCCCAGGGAAGAAGCAAATAACACCAGCCTCGAGGAACCGTTGTGACTGTATGTGCAAAGCTGCAGGAAGACAAAATGCTTAGCAGTGTGTGAGGTCACTTACAGACAGCGGGCAGCCTCAGAGTGTTAAAACAGGTACAGTGGGACGGTTGTTCTTTACTCTAGAAAGGGCGGAAGCGCCTGTGGTTGAAGAAGAAAACCAAAAGGACATTATAAAGACATAAACTCAGCATACTACTGGGACAGATGGCTGTCTTGATCAATGCCATACCACAGAGCTCCTGCCTTGCACACAGCAGCTTCTGCAGAGAAACCAGAAAGAGATGCAGAGACCAGCTGAGCTGCAGAACTCAGCTACATGTCAGCAGTGCACGGATTCTGAGATAACGTGCAGATGGATAGGTGCTGTAACCCATTCCCAGGTATTCTTTAACCTGTAACTTGAATAAAATAAAATACAATCTCCCTAAGAAAAACAACAAGATGTCCATACCCATGGCCCCAGTCTTGTCCTTGTTTTCTGCCGACCTGGATGTGAAGTGAGTGGGAAATATCAGCCTGTGGTGGTTCACCCAATTTCGATAAGGATCACTGCCAATCTAATCTCAGCTGAAGACACTGCAGCAAAATCCCTGAGGCACCATTAAAAACAACACTATCACGATAAATGAGCCCAAGTTCTGGATCACAATGAAGTGCTGCCGAAATCTTTTCTCACTGTGTTTCACATGAGAGGCTGAACAATGGCTCTTCACAGCAGAGGGTCCTGATGACATCACATCCTCTCCTATAAGTTACACAAGCTGCCTCCAACGTGCAGTGAGCAACATCACCCGCGCTCCGCTGCACCGCCCTGAGGACCATGGCCGGGTCTCCTGCACTGCTCCTCCTGCTCAGCCTGGGGCTCTGTGAGTATGGAAGCGGGAAGGATGCAATTCAGGGCTGCTCAGTGACTGCGCAGGGAAGTGGGAGCAGTGGGACGGCAGTGCAATACGCAGCAGGAACAGAGCCTGTTCAGACAGGTGTGAGACAGGAGGGGATGGGGAAGGGGAGAGAGGGGGCATGTAGCAGTTTTTAAGGGGGAATCACCTGGCAAAGAAGCTGGGAAATGGCAGCAGCCCAGAGGAGGCAGCTGAAGGACTTCTGTGAAAGACAGCATCCATCTGAAGAGCCCGGCGCTCTCAACACTGAGTCCCCAGGGACTCCAGCACAGCACCCATGCATTTACATTAACCTCGCAGCCCAGCTGCCTGCCTGCCACACACCACACCTGTGCGGAAGAGCCCTCCTCAAAGGCCTCAGGAGCTCTTCCTGAGCAGCACCTGAGGGGACATGGCCAACTTCTGCCCACAGGCTGCACTGGTGCCCAGGGACAGAGGAACACAATGGAGGCCAGGTTCCTCAACAGGAATTTGAAGCACCCCCAGGAGGGACAGCAGCTGGAGCTGGAGTGCCTGCGTTATGAGAGAAACAGACCCCTCTTCTGGATCCGCCTGGACAAGAGTGGGAACCTTCACTCCATCTCCAGTACCCATTCCTATTCTACCACCTTGCAGGAGAGTGAGAAAACAGCACCAAACTTTGAGGCGTTATGGAGAGGAAACTTCTATCGGCTGGTGGTGAAGAGCTTCACAAGGCAGGATGAGGGCACCTATTTCTGCGTCAACTACATCAACCCAGGGCTCCACATCAGCTCTGGACAACCCGCCTTCTTCCCAGGTCAGCAGCAGCTTCACCCACCTCGCTTACACCCACCTCCCCTGCCCCTGCCTTCTCCATCCGCCCATCGCCCACACTCCCCATGTCCCTGCTTCTTTGCCAAGCCGTCTCATCACACACGCTCTGCTCCTCCCCAGAGAGGCTCCCTGCCCACCAGCTCTGCTCTGACGGATGGCAGTTACAAAGTCCACAGCCACCTCCTTCCTCTCCTCACATAATCCTGAATGTCCTGACAGCCTCCCTACGTTTACAGCACCTCAAACAGTCACTCACCGGTGAGGTGGAGGTTGCAGTGTGGAAAGAAAAGTTTCCCAGGTCTCTCAAAACATTGTTCCTGATAAGAAAGATCTCTAAGTGTGCTGCCAAGGAATTAGGAACCCTAGGACTTCTCTTTCCATCCTTGGGCATTGTTACAGTGCAACACTTTTCAAAACGGGTCCTACAAATTCCCTGTGTTGCCTGTGTACTGAAGGGATGGCAGACAACAGATTTATTGCATATTGCTGAATTCATCCATTTCTCCTTACTGTCACAACAACAGCAGCACCCACTGCCAACAACCAGAGCAGCAAGGTCAACACGAAAGACAACTCGCAACAGGGCCCACATGCAGGTAACCCAGCAGTGGGGATGCAGGGGCTCTGCCAGCAGTGCTGCTTTGGGTATAAGAGGCCAAATTAAAGTGCGTGCTGGCTACAAGCATTTCAGGATGCAGGCAGATGTCAGCAGCTTGGCCTTTCCTCTTTCCGCTCTCTCTTTTCTTCTTGAAGGAGCAAGCAATGAGAACATGCTGAGTTTCTACTGTGAAGTAGTCATGTGGGTGAACCTGGCTTGTGCCTGCTTCCTGCTCCTCACTGCCATCACCATCACCATCACGCACTGCAGAGGGAATCGCCAGTGAAAGTAAGTGCCAGTGAAGATCCATGAGCTGCATTAATATCTGCAGCAAGCAGCACAAATGCTGAAGGAGAGATTGTTACACAACAACTGCATTCACTACTAAATTTTTGGCTCAGCGTTGTAGTTCACCAAAAGCAATTCACAGTAATTGCAGAGAAGCAAAAAGGGGAGGAGTATCGTAAAGGGAGGTCAATCCTGACGGTCTCTAAGTCAGCTTATAGGTACCACAGTGCCTTTAAAAACCTCAGCTTTTATTTACAACTGGGTATTTTTCTTCATTGTCAAACCTCAATTTCAAAAGCAGGATTGTGATTGAAGAGTAAATTCAGAAATCTTCATTAATAATTTTGATTCCTCCTTGCTAAATTGGTCAGATGCTGTCATGCTAAGAGCAGGAAGGGTCAGCAGTGCTGCAATCAGCACAGCCACGCGTCACACGCGCTCACCACAAGCCGATCGCTTGCAGGACCAAGCTCAGCGTAAGCAAGCAGTGCTGCGTCGCTGCTCAGCAGAAGGCACACAGGCGTCCTCCTCCAGCACCGCACTGATCCCACCAGCAGCACACACAGCTGCCCTGATGCAGCGCCGCCGTTTGGCTGCTCCTGCTCAGGATCACACCCTCAATCACACCCAAAACTCAGCTCTCATACCCCACCTCCCACTTCTGAGTTACTCCCGATTAAAACCAACTAATTCTTAACACTCTCAGTGTGTTCTTTGGATTCATTCACAGTTCTCATAGAGGCAGAGGGACTGAGCATTCTACAATCAACACCAGTAATGGTTAAATAAAAGAAGTCGACTCCCAGCTATATTCAAATATATATGGTTGTCTGAGCAGGGAGCCCTGGTGGGAAATCTCTCCCAGCTTTTCCAACTGAATTCCCCTCTGCAGGGAACGAGATCATTCATCTCAAACTCACGACCTCCTGAGCCCATTCCAAAACATGTCACAATCTCCCATCTCTCCAGGATTTTGTATATCTTCTCCACAGCTATACATCATTGATTAATTGATTCATGAAAATAAATTTAATAAAATTCAATTTCACCACAGTCTTTACTAGTAATACACTGTGATGCGTCTGTTACAAAGGGCAGGAAGAATCAACAATCCTGAGAGCTCATCTCTCCTGTCCAGCTCTCTCAGTTGCACTATCAGTGCTGCTTATGTTCACTCCTCAGCAGGTAGCACTCTGCACAACTTTGCGTAGGTGGATCTGAAACATCACAGTTGACTCTTGGCTGACTTCAGTTACCCCACTCTAACTGGCTTCACAGCAGCTTTTCTTACTCACCCGAATGCTTACAGGCCCAATGAAATGAGCCCAGCCATAAACAGACAATTTTGGACCAATTTCTCACCAAACAGCACTTTCATCAGACAGCAGGGCCAGGATTCTGGCATCAGGAACAGGGGGAACATTTGCAAAACAGAAACACAACAACACATCAGAAATAACCAGAGAGCCAGGAAATAACACCAGAAGACACAAATAACACCAGCCCAGGGAAACTGTCACTACTGTATGTGCAAAGCTGCAGGAAGCCCAGCACTTACCAATGTGTGAGTGGTCACCTGCAGGCAGCAGCAAGGGCCCTCAGCATTGAGGACCTTTCTGGGCTTTTTTGGCAGGGTGGAAGTCCCTGTGGTTGTAGAATAAAAACACAGAAATTTAAATTAAATAAAAATAAGTCTGCATGAGTCAGGGACATAGGGCTGCAATGATGGCTACCAAATCACAGACCTCCTGCCCTGCACAAGGCGGGTTCTGCACAGAAAGCATGAAGAAGAAATGTGGAGAACAGCTGAGCAGAAGCACTCAGCTACATGGCAGCAATGCATGGACCATGAGACGAGAAGTGCACACGGATCATTTGATAAATGCAATAGAATAAGATATATTAAAATAAAATCCACTGCATAAAATACAACTGCAGTCCACAACAACGGCACAGGACTTCTCCTGGTTATCTGCAAATATGGACATGATGAGAGTGCCCCAAAATGCTCAGACAGCAATTTATGGCTGCTGATTTGATTTCAAGCATGAACACTGTCAGTCAGAGTCTCAAATGTAATCATCACAGCAAACACCATTTGGCATCACCAAAACCAACTCTATTCTGATAAACAGCTTCGAGTTCTAGGTCAACAACTGAAGTACTGCAGAAATCATTCTCTTCTGAATGCCAGCTCTTCACAGCAGAGGATCCTGATGACATCACATCCTCTCCTATAAGTTACACAAGCTGCCTCCAACGTGCAGTGAGCAACATCACCCGCGCTCCGCTGCACCGCCCCGAGGACCATGGCCGGGTCTCCTGCACTGCTCCTCCTGCTCAGCCTGGGGCTCTGTGAGTATGGAAGCGGGAAGGATGCAATTCAGGGCTGCTCAGTGACTGCGGAGGAAAGCGGGAGCGGTGGGACTGCAGTGCGATACGCAGCAAGGGGGATGGATGCTGGACGGGATGGGAAAGGGGAGAGAGGGGCATGTAGCAGCTGTTAGTGGGGAATCACTTGGCAAAGAAGCTGGGAAATGGCAGCAGCCCCAAGCAGGCAGCTGAAGGGCTGCTCTGAAGGGCAGCATCCACCTTGAGAGCTGGATGCCAAAGCTCTCCCTCCACATTCACCTCACAGCCCAGCTCTGCCTGCCTGCCATGCACCGCACCAGCGGGGAAAAGCCCTCTCAAAGGGCCCAGGAGCTCTTCCTGAGCAGCACCTGAGGGGACATGGCCAACTTCTGCCCACAGGCTGCACTGGTGCCCAGGGACAGAGGAACAAGATGGAGGCCAGGTTCCTCAACAGGAATTTGAAGCACCCCCAGGAGGGACAGCGGCTGGAGCTGGAGTGCCTGCGTTACCAGAGGAACAGACCCCTCTTCTGGATCCGACTGGAGAAAGATGGGAGACTTCACTTCATTGTCTCCTGCTACCCATGGTACTCTACCACCTATTATTGGGGTGACAAAAAATCTACGCAGTTTGAGGCATCACTGAGAGACAACACCTTCAGACTGGTGGTGAAGTCCTTCAGGGCACAGGATGAGGGCACCTATTTCTGCATCAACTACATCAACCAGGAGCTGCACTTCAGCTCTGGACAACCCGCCTTCTTCCCAGGTCAGCAGCAGCTTCACCCACCTCGCTTACACCCACCTCCCCTGCCCCTGCCTTCTCCATCCGCCCATCGCCCACACTCCCCATGTCCCTGCTTCTTTGCCAAGCCGTCTCATCACACACGCTCTGCTCCCCCCCATAGAAGCTCCCTGCCCTCCAGCTCCGCTCGCAGTACCATCAGCCCTCTAAGAGCCAACACCCTCCATATGCTTACAGCACCACAAAAAGAAACTCAGAAATCCCCATGACTTTTAACACGTTTTATAACAGGGATAACAGACAGCTCGCACATACAGAGGGGGCTCATTAGAAATTACGAGCCCAAATCATTCTGTTTCCAGGGCTGGGCAGCATGTGAAACCATCACTGGTCAAAGGAGACCCTCTAGAAGTTCTTCCTCTTCTGGCCATGTCCAGGCACAGATTGGAAGAAGCTTTTCTGTTGTGCCTCACTGTATTCACTCATTTCTTCTTTCCAGTCACAACTACGGCAGCACCCACCACACACACAGCCACCACCCAGAGCAGCCAGGTCACCACGAAAGACAACGCACAACCGGGCCCAGATGCAGGTAACCCAACTGTAGGGTGGCAGGGGCTCTGCCAGCAGTGCTGCTTTGATCAGAAGAGGCCAAATTAAAGTTTGTGCTGACTACAAGCATTTCAGGACGCAGGCAGATATCAGCAGCTAGGCCTTTCCTCTTTCCTCTCTCTCTTTCTTCCTGCAGGAACAAGCAACAAGCACACAACAAGATTCTACTGTAAAAAGGTCATGTGGATTAACCTGGCTGTCACCGGCCTCCTGCTCCTCACGGCCATCACCATCACCATCACACACTGCCAAAGTAAGTCGCACCCTGACACCCTGCAGAGGTTCCTGCAGCCTCACCCCACAGAGCACAGCCTGCTCCCCAGGAGAATGGGCTCCCTGCCTACTGCCCTCATGCAGCCATTGTGTATCCAGGACACAGGGAATGCTGAAGGACTGCTCTTAGAATTTTCTATTCCGTATTTTCCTCCTCACTAGCTTTAGATTCAGAAATATTTATCACATTCTACACTTACAGACAACAAGCTGTAAACAGGTTGTATTGGAGTTCTTAACAGAAATTATAAACAGACCAGAAATCACAAACTGTGTTGACTCTGCCATCCTGATATCACCATCTTGGGGTTGAAATTGCCTGAATTCACAACATTACTTAAACATTTATTTTGGCCTTTTCACACTGGTCAGGATTACCAGTGAAGATCCATTAATTTCTGTAGCAAGCAGCACTAATGCTGAAGGTGAGATTGTTACACAACAACTGCATTTGCTGATAAACTTCTGGCTCAACATTCTGATTCACTGGAAGAAATCGACAGTAGTGACAGAGAAGTAAAATGGGCAGGTTGATTCTGAAGGGTTTAAGTCAGCTTACAGCCAACACACTGCCTTTCACAGACTGCCTAAAAGAGGCCCACGGTATTTCAATTTACTGTTTTCAAACTTGAACTGCAAATGCAAGATTGTAATTGAAGAGTAAATTCAGAAATCTTCATTGATGCTTCGGATTCCTCCTTGCTAAATTGGTCAGATGTTCCCATGCTAAGAGCAGGAAGGGTCAGCAGTGCTGCAATCAGCACAGCCACGCGTCACACGCGCTCACCACAAGCCGATCGCTTGCAGGACCAAGCTCAGCGTAAGCAAGCAGTGCTGCGTCGCTGCTCAGCAGAAGGCACACAGGCGTCCTCCTCCAGCACCGCACTGATCCCACCAGCAGCACACACAGCTGCCCTGATGCAGCGCCGCCGTTTGGCTGATCCTGCTCAGGATCACACCCTCAATCACACCCAAAACTCAGCTCTCATACCCCACCTCCCACTTCTGAGTTACTCCCGATTAAAACCAACTAATTCTTAACACTCTCAGTGTGTTCTTTGGATTCATTCATAGTTCTCATAGGGGCAGAGGGACTGAGCATTCTACAATCAACACCAGTAATGGTTAAATAAAAGAAGTCAACTCCCAGCTATATTGAAATATATATGGTTGTCTGAGCAGGGAGCCCTGGTGGGAAATCTCTCCCAGCTTTTCCAACTGAATTCCCCTCTGCAGGGAACGAGATCATTCATCTCAAACTCACGACCTCCTGAGCCCATTCCAAAACATGTCACAATCTCCCATCTCTCCAGGATTTTGTATATCTTCTCCACAGCTATACATCATTGATTAACTGATTCATGAAAATAAATAAAAATCAATTTCACCACAGTCTTTACTAGTAATATATTGTGATGCGTCTGTTACAAAGGGCAGGAAGAATCTCCAAACCTGAGAGCTCATCTCTCCTTTCCAGCTCTCTCAGTTGCACTATCAGTGCTGCTGATGTTCTCTCCTCAGCAGATGAGCACTCTGCACAACTTTGGATAGGTGGATCTGAAACATCACAGTTGACTCTTGGCTGACTTCAGTTACCCCACTCTAACTGGCTTCACAGCAGCTTTTCTTACTCACCCAAATGCTTTCAGGCCCAATTAAATAAGCCCAGCGATAAACAGACAATTTTGGACCAATTTCTCACCAAACAGCACTTTCATCAGACAGCAGGGCCAGGATTCTGGCATCAGGAACAGGGGGAACATTTGCAAAACAGAAACAACAATACATCAGAAATAACCAGAGAGCCAGGAAATAACACCAGAAGACACAAATAACACCAGCCCAGGGAAACTGTCACTGCTGTATGTGCAAAGCTGCAGGAAGCCCAGCACTTACCAATGTGTGAGTGGTCACCTGCAGGCAGCAGCAAGGGCCCTCAGTGCTGAGGACCTTTCTGGGCTTTTTTGGCAGGGTGGAAGTCCCTGTGGTTGTAGAACAAAAACAGAAGAATTTAAATTAAATAAAAATAAGTCTGCATGAGTCAGGGCCATGGGGGTGTAGTGATGGCTACCAGATCACAGACCTCCTGCCCTGCACAAGGCGGGTTCTGCACAGAAAGCATGAAGAAGAAATGTGGAGAACAGCTGAGCTGAAGCACTCAGCTACATGGCAGCAATGCATGGACCATGAGATGAGAAGCACACATGGATCAATTGATAAATGCAATAGAATAAGATATATTAAAATAAAATTCACTGCATAAAGTACATCATGAAGTCCACAACAACGGCACAGGACTTTTCCTGGTTATCTGCAAATATGGACATGATGAGAGTGCCTCAAATGGCTCAGACAGCAGTTTGTAGCTACTGATATGATTTCAAGCATGAACACTGTCAGTCAGAGTCTCACATGAAGTCACCATAGCAAACACCGTTTGTCATCACCAAATTAAAGTTTGTCCTGGCTACAAGCATTTCAGGATGCAGGCAGATATCAGCAGCAAGGCCATTCCTCTTTCCTCTCTCTCTTTCTTCCTGCAGGAACAAGCAACAAGCACACAACAAGATTCTACTGTAAAAAGGTCATGTGGATTAACCTGGCTGTCACCGGCCTCCTGCTCCTCACTGCCATCACCATCACCATCACGCACTGCCAAAGTAAGTCGCACCCTGACACCCTGCAGAGGTTCCTGCAGCCTCACACCACAGAGCACAGCCTGCTCCTACAGGGGAATTGGCTCCCTGCCTACTGCCCTCATGCAGCCACTGCGTATCCAGGACACAGGGAATGCTGAAGGACTGCTCTTAGAATATTTTTTTCCATATTTTCCTCCTCACTAGCTTTAGATTCAGAAATATTTACCATATTCTACACTTACAGACAACAAGCTGTAAACAGGTTGTATTGGAGTTCTTAACAGAAATTATAAACAGACCAGAAATCACAAACTGTGTTGACTCTGCCATCCTGATATCATCAAACTGGGGTTGAAATTGCCTGAATCCAAAACGTTATTCAACCGTTTATTTTGGCCTTTTCACACTGGTCAGGATTACCAGTGAAGATCCATTAGCTGCATTAATTTCCCCAGCATGCAGCACTAATGCTGAAGGTGAGATTGTTACACAACATCTGCATTTGCTGATAAATTTCTGGCTCAACATTCTGATTCACTGGAAGAAATCGACAGTAGTGACAGAGAAGTAAAATGGGCAGGTTGATTCTGAAGGGTTCAAGTCAGCTTATAGCCAACACACTGCCTTTCACAGACTCTGCCTAAAAGTAGTACTCGGTATTTCAATTTACTGTTTTCAAACTTCAACTGCAAATGCAAGATTGTAATTGAAGAGTAAATTCAGAAATCTTCATTGATGCTTCAGATTCCTCCTTGCTAAATGGGTCAGATGCTAAGAGCAGGGAGGGTCAGCAGTGCTGCAATCAGCACAGCCACGCGTCACACGCGCTCACCACAAGCCGATCGCTTGCAGGACCAAGCTCAGCGTAAGCAAGCAGTGCTGCGTCGCTGCTCAGCAGAAGGCACACAGGCGTCCTCCTCCAGCACCGCACTGATCCCACCAGCAGCACACAGCTGCCCTGATGCAGCGCCGCCGTATGGCTGATCCTGCTCAGGATCACACCTTCAATCACACCCAAAACTCAGCTCTCATACCTCAACCTCCCTCTCACTTCCAAGGTCTTCCCAAATAAACACTTCTAACTCTTAATGCTCTCAGTGTGATCTGTGGTTTCATTCACAATTTCCAGAGGGGCAGAACGACTGATCATGCCACAATCAACAGCAGTATTGCTTCAAAAAAAGAAAAAAAAACCAGTCCAAACTGCATTGAAATATATATGTCTGTCTGAGCAGGGATCCATGGTGGGAAATCTCTTCCAGCCTTTTCAACTGAAAGCCCCACAGCAAGCACTGAGGCTAGTGGCCTCCTGCAGAAACCAGCTCCATCTGTGAGCCACAAGGACCAAGAGGAAGGGCAGCTCTGTGTTTAGGAGGGAAACTTCTGGGTACCTGTTAGGTAGCTGGGAATGACCCACAGTAGAATCACACTGTCACAGGGAGAAAAGAGGGAAGAAAGACATCCACACTGAGGCAGGCAAGAGCCCTTCCTGGCTTATCCTGCAGTCCAGCTGTAGAGCTTCTCCTCACACGACTCTGAACATGAGATGCCGTGGGTAGGCAACCGTGCTCCATGGCAGGGAGAGAATCCAGTCCCAGAAATGTGCAAACATCCTCATTTGCCAGCAGCTCCCCTTCCAGATCAACCATTCTGAACCTCAGAAATCAGGAATTTTCCTACTTTGGTCACAATCCCAGTGAAAGGCAGAAGCAGATTGCTTCAGCACCTCACAAAATACGGGACAACATCAGCCATCCACAAGGCATGGCCATCGGTTCAGCTCCTCATCCCATTGCAAAGGCAGCACGGATTCTGCTTTGGTTGAGGAGAAGAAACTGACAACAGGAAGAGCCTACGCAAGCAGTATAACATACGTGTCTTGCTGGGAAATGGATGGAGGCCTAAGAGTCCACAGTTCTGACGTGCTTGATGGGATTTCAAGGATCAAGTTGTGTTCTGTAATAGATTAACCCTCTTTCTCTTCTTTTTGCAACACATCTGATCAACTTCAGGCCAACCTCACATGTCTTACAGCCTCATAATACCTTGTTCCTTCTGTTTCACAGACCTCAGCAGGCCTCACTCCGGCTTTCTGCTCTCACCACAGTGCTTGGAGGCTCAATGAGATGAGCCCACTTCCCAAACACTTTCCGCTCATTTGCTCACACAACTGTGGTTCCAGCAGTCAGAACTGCCTGGCTTGTTAACATCCAGAGGGTTTTCTTGCAAAGCTAATAGAACAGTGCCTCACACGTTGTCAGAACATAGCAGGAAAGCCAGAAAATCCCCAGGGAAGAAGCAAATAACACCAGCCTCGAGGAACCGTTGTGACTGTATGTGCAAAGCTGCAGGAAGACAAAATGCTTAGCAGTGTGTGAGGTCACTTACAGACAGCGGGCAGCCTCAGAGTGTTAAAACAGGTACAGTGGGACGGTTGTTCTTTACTCTAGAAAGGGCGGAAGCGCCTGTGGTTGAAGAAGAAAACCAAAAGGACATTATAAAGACATAAACTCAGCATACTACTGGGACAGATGGCTGTCTTGATCAATGCCATACCACAGAGCTCCTGCCTTGCACACAGCAGCTTCTGCAGAGAAACCAGAAAGAGATGCAGAGACCAGCTGAGCTGCAGAACTCAGCTACATGTCAGCAGTGCACGGATTCTGAGATAACGTGCAGATGGATAGGTGCTGTAACCCATTCCCAGGTATTCTTTAACCTGTAACTTGAATAAAATAAAATACAATCTCCCTAAGAAAAACAACAAGATGTCCATACCCATGGCCCCAGTCTTGTCCTTGTTTTCTGCCGACCTGGATGTGAAGTGAGTGGGAAATATCAGCCTGTGGTGGTTCACCCAATTTCGATAAGGATCACTGCCAATCTAATCTCAGCTGAAGACACTGCAGCAAAATCCCTGAGGCACCATTAAAAACAACACTATCACGATAAATGAGCCCAAGTTCTGGATCACAATGAAGTGCTGCCGAAATCTTTTCTCACTGTGTTTCACATGAGAGGCTGAACAATGGCTCTTCACAGCAGAGGGTCCTGATGACATCACATCCTCTCCTATAAGTTACACAAGCTGCCTCCAACGTGCAGTGAGCAACATCACCCGCGCTCCGCTGCACCGCCCCGAGGACCATGGCCGGGTCTCCTGCACTGCTCCTCCTGCTCAGCCTGGGGCTCTGTGAGTATGGAAGCAGGAAGGATGCAATTCAGGGCTGCTCAGTGACTGCGCAGGGAAGTGGGAGCGGTGGGACTGCAGTGCGATACGCAGCAGGAACAGAGCCTGTTCAGACAGGTGTGAGACAGGAGGGGATGGGGAAGGGGAGAGAGGGGGCATGTAGCAGTTTTTAAGGGGGAATCACCTGGCAAAGAAGCTGGGAAATGGCAGCAGCCCAGAGGAGGCAGATGAAGGACCTCTGTGAAAGACAGCACCCATCTGAAGAGCCCGGCGCTCTCAACACTGAGTCCCCAGGGATTCCAGCACAGCACCCATGCATTTGCATCCACCTCACATCCCAGCTGCCTGCCTGCCACACATCGCACCTGTGGGGAAGAGCCCTCCTCAAAGGCCTCAGGAGCTCTTCCTGAGCAGCACCTGAGGGGACATGGCCGACTTCTGCCCACAGGCTGCACTGGTGCCCAGGAACAGAGGAACAAGATGGAGGCCAGGTTCCTCAACAGGAATTTGAAGCACCCCCAGGAGGGACAGCAGCTGGAGCTGGAGTGCCTGCGTTACGAGAGAAACAGACCCCTCTTCTGGATCCGCCTGGACAAGAGTGGGAACCTTCACTCCATCTCCAGTACCCATTCCTATTCTACCACCTTGCAGGAGAGTGAGAAAACAGCACCAAACTTTGAGGCGATATGGAGAGGAAGCTCCTATCGGCTGGTGGTGAAGAGCTTCACAAGGCAGGATGAGGGCACCTATTTCTGCGTCAACTACATCAACCCGGTGCTGCACTTCAGCTCTGGACAACCCGCCTTCTTCCCAGGTCAGCAGCAGCTTCACCCACCTCGCTTACACCCACCTCCCCTGCCCCTGCCTTCTCCATCCGCCCATCGCCCACACTCCCCATGTCCCTGCTTCTTTGCCAAGCCGTCTCATCACACACGCTCTGCTCCTACCCATGGAGGCTCCCTGCCCACCAGCTCTGCTCATGGTCACACTGCCCCTCAGCACCTCCCCATCCCCTCAGAACCTCAGAGGGATGAGAGTTACAGAGTCCACAGCCACCACATCCTTCCTCACCTCACCTGGACCTCTACATCCTGACAGAATCCATATGCTTAGAGCACCACAAAAAGAAACTAAAAAAATCCCTGTGACTCTCAGGATATATTTTATAACAGAGATGACACATGCGGAGGGGGCTGATAAGAAATTACTAGCCCAAATTCTGTTTCCAGGGCTGGGCAGCATGTGAAACCATCACTGGTCAAAGGAGACCCTCTAGAAGTTCTTCCTTTCCTGGCCATGTCCAGGCACAGGTTGGAGGAAGCTCTTCTGTTGTGCCTCACTGTATTCACTCATTTCTTCTTTCCAGTCACAACTACGGCAGCACCCACCACACACACAGCCACCACCCAGAGCAGCCAGGTCACCACGAAAGACAACGCACAACCGGGCCCAGATGCAGGTAACCCAGCTGTGGGGAGGCAGGGGCTCTGCCAGCAGTGCTGCTTTGATCAGAAGAGGCCAAATTAAAGTTTGTGCTGACTTCAGGCCATTCAAGACAGGGAGATGTCTGCAGCTGTGTCTTTCCTCTGTCCTCTCTTTCTTCATGCAGGAACAAGCAACGAAAACATGCTGAATTCCATCTGCAATATTTTCCTCTGGGTTCGAGTAGCTGGCATTGGCCTCCTGCTCCTCACTGCCATCACCATCACCATCACACACTGCCAAAGTAAGTCCCGCCCTGACACCCTGCAGAGGTTCCTTCAACCTCACCCCACAGAGCACAGCCTGCTCCCCTAGGGGAATGGGTTCCCTGCCTACTGCTTTCATGCAGCTATTTTGTATCCAGGACACAGGGAATACTGCAGGATCACTGTTAATTTTCTATTCCATATTTTCCTCCTCACTAGCTTTAGATTCAGAAAACTTTGTCACATTCTACACTTACAGCAACAAATTATATACAGGTAGTATTGGACTTCTTAACAAAAATTATAAACAGACCAGAAATCACAAACTGCGTTGACTCCTGATATCACCATCTTGGGGTTGAAATTGCCTGAATCCAAAACATTACTCAGCCATTCATTTTGGCCTTTTCACACTGGTCAGGATTACCAGTGAAGATCCATTAGCTGCATTAATTTCCCCAGCAAGCAGCACTAATGCTGAAGGAGAGATTGTTTCACAACATCTGCATTTGCTGATAAACTTCTGGCTCAACTTTGTGATTCACTGGAAGAAATTGACAGTAGTGACAGAGAAGTAAAATGGGCAGGTTGATTCTGAAGGGTTTAAGTCAGCTTACAGCCAACACACTGCCTTTCACAGACTGCCTAAAAGAGGCCCACGGTATTTCAATTTACTGTTTTCAGACTTCAACTGCAAATGCAAGATTGTGAATGAAGAGTAAATTCAGAAATCTTCATTGATGCTTCGGGTTCCTCCTTGCTAAATTGGTCAGATGTTCCCATGCTAAGAGCAGGAAGGGTCAGCAGTGCTGCAATCAGCACAGCCACGCGTCACACGCGCTCACCACAAGCCGATCGCTTGCAGGACCAAGCTCAGCGTAAGCAAGCAGTGCTGCGTCGCTGCTCAGCAGAAGGCACACAGGCGTCCTCCTCCAGCACCGCACTGATCCCACCAGCAGCACACACAGCTGCCCTGATGCAGCGCCGCCGTTTGGCTGCTCCTCCTGTGCTGCCCACCAGCACTGCACACCTCCCGCGGCCTGACATGTGCTCCTGCCCCACTCTGCTGTGACACAGCCAGACCGCGGGCACAGCGCTGACCCGGAGAAGCCGGGCAGCTCCGTGCTGCTGTGCAAAAGGCACCGCGGTGCTGGACAGCTGAGCCTTCCGTGGATCACCAATAAACCACTCACATCAATACTCAGATCTGATGTCCCAGTCTCCTATTTTCCAATATCTTCCCCACTGTAATTTTTATCTCGGTCTGCAAGTTGTTTGTTTTTATTGACAATTTCCATGAGGGCAGGGAGACTCAACATGCTACAACCTACGCCTCTAATGTTCCAAAGGAAGAAAAGCAACCTTTGTAAAGACACTGTAAACCATGCTGAGACAACTTTGTGTCAGATCAGGGTCCATGGGCATAGGAATTCTCTCCTAGTTTTCCTATCTGAAATCTCCTTGTTAAGCGTGAACACAGGTAGTTGACATCAGTTGCCCTTCCTTTGTCCACCAATGCCATCACTCCATCATAAAAGGCCACCGGATTTGTTGGGCAAAATCTGCCCTTGGTGAAAACATGCTGGCTGTCTCAGATCACCTCCTCATTTTGCATATGCCTTCCAGGGAGGATCTGCTCCATGGTCTCCCCAGACACGGTGAAAATGCTCACTGCTCTGTGGTTCCCCAGGTATCTTTTCTCCCATTCTTAAAAGTGGGAGTGATGTTTCCTTCTCTCCAGTCTCTGGCAACTACACCTGACAGCCATGGCTTGTTAACTATGATGGAGAGAATCTTGGCAACCACCTCAGAAGGCTCCTTCATGACATGAGGTGCATGTCCCTACGAATCGTAGACTGATTCTCACTGAGTCTCATCAGGTAGTCTCAGACTTGCTCTTCTCTTACAGTGGGAGGTATTTTACTCCCCCAGTCTCCAGCTAGAGGTACAGAGATGTGAGAGACACAAGAAGCTTGGCTGCCAGTGAAGACAAAGGCCAAGAATTCGCTGAGTACCTCAGCCTTCTCCACGCCAGTATTTCCCTTCTCTTTAATCACAGGGGGTACTCACTCTGAAGTCACCTCTTCTGATCAATGTACCTGTAGAATACCTTCTTCTTTTTCACATCCCTTGCCATCTGCACCTTGGCTTTTTTATCCCATCTCTGCATGTCCAGGCAGCATTTCTTTATTCTTCTCAGGCCACACATCTCTGCTTCCACCACCTGCACAAATTCCTCTTATTCCTCAGTTTGCTCTCGTGCTGTCAGAAAGGCATCCTTAAAGGCTGCCAGTTCTGCTACACTCCTTTGTCTGTAAGGACAGCTTCTCAGGGGATCGCAGGCAGCAAATCCTTGAACAACCTGGATCCTTGAGATCCTCAAGATCACAAACTCCACCTGACCATGGTCTCTGCAGCCCAGAGTGCCTCCAATCTTAATCTCCTTAATGAGATCCTCTGAGCCGGTGAGGAACAGGTCCAGAAACATTACTCCTCCGGACAGTTTGCCTCATACCTGGACCAGAAAGTTATCCTCAACACGGCAGGAGTCCCCAGGATTGCTTGCAGCTCACTGTGTTGTTTTCTCAGTAGACATCTGAGTGTTTGAAATCCCCCATCAAGATGAGAATTTGAGACACGGATTCCTGTGATGTTATATAATGGATGAATGAAACAAATTTTCTCACTGTATTGCAAAAAAAAACCTGATCAAATTTTGCAGACATCACAAGTCTTAACACATCAAAAAAAGCCCAGGATAACAGATTCTAGGAGGTTTCACAGCAGCTTTTCTTACTCACCCAAATGCTTTCAGGCCCAATGAAATGAGCCTAGCCATAAACAGACAATTTTGGCCCAATTTCTCACCAAACAGCACTTCCATCAGGCAGCAGTGCCTGGATTCTGGCATCCAGGAACAGGGGACACATTTGCAAAAGAGGAATACAGCAACACGTCACAAATAGCAGTAGAGCCAGGAAGTAACAACAGAAAACACAAATAACACCAGCCCAGGGAAACTGTTGGTACTGTGTGTGCAAAGCTGCAGCACTTACCAACATGTGAGTGGTCACCTGAGGCAGCATCAAAGGCAATGAATGTTGACACGTATATTAGTCAGGGTGGAGGTCCTGGTGGTTGTAAAATAAAGCCACAAAAAGTCTGCTTTGAAAAAGTAAAAATTTGCATGCCACTGGGACATGTGGCTTTTTGGATGGGTTTCTCATCACAGACCTGCCTTGCACAAAGTAGCATTTGCAAAACAATTGCAAAGAAGAACAGGGCTGGAGAAGTCAGCTACATGTCGGCAATATGTGGACACGGGAATCAAAACTGCATATGAATTCATGCTGTAAAACATTCCCACTTCTTCTTTGCTCTGTAAGAAAACAGCATGCCTTGACATCCACACCGGACCACAAGTGCATGAGCAAGTGAAGGTGGCAGAATCTTGGTCAAGAAATGTAGCCTGGGGCCGGACTCCACATCATGGAATTTGTCCCATTTTGTGTAGATGTGGATGTTTGTGAGTGCTCCAAATGGCTGAGAGAAAGTAGCCTAGAATGGATGACTTAATTTCAAGAAGAACTGTTGCCAGTCTGAATGTCACGGCTGCGAAATCCATTAAAAACAGTGTTATGAGAGAACACAGCCCGAGTTCTGGATCTCTACTGGAGTTCTTCAGAAATCATTCTTTACTGAACCTTGGATCTTCACAGCAGAGGGTCCTGATGACATCACATCCTCTCCTATAACTTACACTGCCTCCAACATGCAGTGAGCAACATCACCCGCGCTCCGCTGCACCGCCCCGAGGACCATGGCCGGGTCTCCTGCACTGCTCCTCCTGCTCAGCCTGGGGCTCTGTGAGTATGGAAGCGGGCTTACGGGGCACCTGTGCTGGGAGGAAGGAGGACAATGGGTGAAGGCATTCCCCTTGCAGCACAGCCAAGAAAGTGGGCAAAACGGACCATGGGAAAAGAAAGGGCAAACCCATAGGACTGAATTCAGGGCTGCTCAGTGACTGCACAGGGAAGCGCGAGCAGTGGGACTGCAGTGCGATACGCAGCAGGAACAGAGCCTGTTCAGACAGGTGTGAGACAGGAGGGGATGGGGAAGGGGAGAGAGGGGGCATGTAGCAGTTTTTAAGGGGGAATCACCTGGCAAAGAAGCTGGGAAATGGCAGCAGCCCCGAGCAGGCAGCTGAAGGGCTGCTCTGAAGGGCAACATCCATCTCAAGAGCCCGGCGCTCTCAACGCTGAGTCCCCAGAGACTTCAGCACAGCACCCAAGCATGCTGGATGCTGCACTGCACCGGTGGTGAAGAGCCCTCCTCAAAGGCCTCAGGAGCTCTTCCTGAGCAGCACCTGAGGGGACATGGCCGACTTCTGCCCACAGGCTGCACTGGCGCCCAGGAACAGAGGAACAAGATGGAGGCCAGGTTCCTCAACAGGAATTTGAAGCACCCCCAGGAGGGACAGCAGCTGGAGCTGGAGTGCCTGCGTTATGAGAGAAACAGACCTCTCTTCTGGATCCGCCTGGACAACATAAGGAACCTTCACTTCATCTCCAGTACCCATTCCAACTCTACCACCTTGCAGGAGAGTGAGAAAGCAACACCAAACTTTGAGGCATTATGGAGAGGAAGCTCCTATCGGCTGGTGGTGAAGAGCTTCACAAGGCAGGATGAGGGCACCTATTTCTGCGTCAACTACATCAACCCGGTGCTGCACTTCAGCTCTGGACAACCCGCCTTCTTCCCAGGTCAGCAGCAGCTTCACCCACCTCGCTTACACCCACCTCCCCTGCCCCTGCCTTCTCCATCCGCCCATCGCCCACACTCCCCATGTCCCTGCTTCTTTGCCAAGCCGTCTCATCACACACGCTCTGCTCCTCCCCAGAGAGGCTCCCTGCCCTCCAGCTCTGCTCATGGTCACACTGCCCTGCAGCTCCTCCCCATCCCCTCAGAACCTCAGAGGGATGAGAGTTACAGAGTCCACAGCCACCACATCCTTCCTCACCTCACCTGGACCTCTACATCCTGACAGAATCCATATGCTTAGAGCACCACAAAAAGAAACTAAAAAAATCCCTGTGACTCTCAGGATATATTTTATAACAGAGATGACACATGCGGAGGGGGCTGATAAGAAATTACTAGCCCAAATTCTGTTTCCAGTGCTGGGCAGCATGTGAAAACATCACTGGTCAAAGGAGACCCTCTAGAAGTTCTTCCTCTTCTGGCCATGTCCTGGCACAGATTGGAGGAAGCTCTTCTGTTGTGCCTCACTGTATTCACTGATTTCTTCTTTCCAGTCACAACTACAGCAGCACCCACCACACACACAGCCACCACCCAGAGCAGCCAGGTCACCAAGAAGGACAACTCGCAACAGGGCTCGGATGCAGATAACCCAGTTGTGGGGAGGCAGGGGCTCCGTCAGCAGTGCTGTTCTGGTCATAAGAGGCCCAATTAAAGTCTGTGCTGGCTACAAGCATTTCAGGATACAGGGAGATGTCTGCTGCTGGGCCTTCCCTTGTTCTTATTCTCCTTTCTTTCTGCAGGAACAAGCAGTGATAACATACGAAGATTCTACTGTACAAAGGTCATGTGGATTAACCTGGCTGTCACCGGCCTCCTGCTCCTCGCTGCCATCACCATCACCATCATACACTTCCAAAGTAAGTCGCACCCTGACACCCTGCAGAGGTTCCTGCAGCCTCACACCACTGCGCACAGCCTGCTCCCCAGGGGAATGGGCTCCCTGCCTACTGCCCTCATGCAGCCATTTCATATCCAGGACACAGGGAATGCAATAGGACAGTTGTTAATTTTCTACTCCATATTTTCCTCCTCAGTAGATTCAGAACTATATATCACATTCTGCACTTACAGACAACAAATTACAATCAGGCAGCACTGGATTTCTTGAGAAATTATAAACAGACAAGAAATCACAAACTGCGTTGACTCGGCCATCCTGATATCATCATACTGGGGTTGAAATTGCCAGAATCCAAAACATTCTTCAACCGTTTATTTTGGCCTTTTCACACTGGTCAGGATTACCAGTGAAGATCCATTAGCTGCATTAATTTCCCCAGCATGCAGCACTAATGCTGAAGGAGAGATTGTTACACAACAACTGCATTTGCTGATAAATTTCTGGCTCAACTTTGTAATTCAGTGGAAGAAATGAAGAGTAGAGACAGAGAAGCAAAATGGGGAGGAGTATCATTAAGGCAGGTCGGTACTCAAAGGCTCAAAGTCAGCTTACAGCCAACACAGTGCCTTTCACAGACTGCCTAAAAGCTGATCTCAGTGTTTTACTCTACTGTTTTCAAACTTCAACTGCAAATGCAAGATTGTGATTGAAGAGTAAATTCAGAAATCTTCATTAATAATATTAATCCCTCCTTGCTAAATTGGTCAGATGCTCTCATGCTAAGAGCAGGAAGGGTCAGCAGTGCTGCAATCAGCACAGCCACGCGTCACACGCGCTCACCACAAGCCGATCGCTTGCAGGACCAAGCTCAGCGTAAGCAAGCAGTGCTGCGTCGCTGCTCAGCAGAAGGCACACAGGCGTCCTCCTCCAGCACCGCACTGATCCCACCAGCAGCACACACAGCTGCCCTGATGCAGCGCCGCCGTTTGGCTGATCCTGCTCAGTCTACGCCTCGATCACATCCAAAACTCAGCTCCCACACCCCAACATCCCTCTCACTGCTGAAGTATTCCTCATTAAATGCATCTAATTCTTAATGCTCTCAGTGTGTTCTTTGAATTCATTCATAGTTCTCACAGGGGCAGAGGGATTGAGCATTCTACAATCAACACCAGTAATGGTTAAATAAAAGAAGTCAACTCCCAGCTATATTGAAATATATATGGTTGTCTGAGCAGGGAGCCCTGGTGGGAAATCTCTCCCAGCTTTTCCAACTGAATTCCCCTCTGCAGGGAACGAGATCATTCATCTCAAACTCACGACCTCCTGAGCACAGTCCAAAACATGTCACAATCTCCCATCCCTCCAGGATTTTGTATATCTTCTCCACAGCTATACATCATTGATTAATTGATTCATGAAAATAAATAATTTAAAATCAATTTCACCACAGCCATTACTAATAATAAATGATGATGCCTCTGTTTTTAAGGGTACTAAGAATCTCCAAACCTGAGAGCTCATCTCCCTTTCCCAGCTCTCACAGTTGCACTATCAGTGCTGCTGATGGTCGCTGCTCGGCAGATGAGCACTGAGCACAACTTTGTGTAAGTGGATCAGCCACCTTGGCTGACTTCAGTTACCCCACTCTAACTGGCTTCACAGCAGCTTTCCTTACTCACCCAAATGCTTTCAGGCCCAATTAAATAAGCCCAGCCATAAACAGACAATTTTGGCCCAATTTCTCACCAAACAGCACTTTCATCAGACAGCAGGGCCAGGATTCTGGCATCAGGAACAGGGGGAACATTTGCAAAACAGAAACACAACAACACATCAGAAATAACCAGAGAGCCAGGAAATAACACCAGAAGACACAAATAACACCAGCCCAGGGAAACTGTCACTACTGTATGTGCAAAGCTGCAGGAAGCCCAGCACTTACCAATGTGTGAGTGGTCACCTGCAGGCAGCAGCAAGGGCCCTCAGCATTGAGACATATAAGGTGTGGGGTTTTTTTGGGTTTTTTTGTTTGTTTGTTTGTTTGTTTGGCAGGGCGGAAGCCCCTGGGGGTGTAGAACAAAAACCCAAGAATTTAAATTAAGGAAAATAAGTTTGCATGAGTCTGGGACATGGGGCTGTAGTGATGGCTACCACGTCACAGACCTCCTGCCCTGCACACAGTGGGTTCTGCACAGAAAGTATAAAGAAGAATCGTGGAGAATACAAAAAATCATGCTGCATTCAGCAACATGTCAGCAATGCATGGACCCTGAGATGAGAAATGCACATGGCTAAATTGGTAAATAGAACACAATGAAACACACTAAAATAAAATCCACTGCATGAAATACAACTTGCAATCCCTGACAACAGGAAGGGACTTGTTCTTGTTATCTGCTAATATGGACATGATGATTGTGCCCCAAATGTTTCAAACAGCAGTTGGTGGTGATTGATTTGATCTCAAGAATGAACATTGTCAGTCAAAATCTCAACTGAAGACACTGCAGCAAAATTCCTGAGGCATCTTAAAAAAAACTCAGCCCAAGTATTGGATCACAATGAAGTGCTGCAGAAATCATTCTTTTCTGAATGCCAGCTCTTCACAGCAGAGGGTCCTGATGACATCACATCCTCTCCTATAAGTTACATAAGCTGCCTCCAACGTGCAGTGAGCAACATCACCCGCGCTCCGCTGCACCGCCCCAAGGACCATGGCCGGGTCTCCTGCACTGCTCCTCCTGCTCAGCCTGGGGCTCTGTGAGTATGGAAGCAGGAAGGATGCAATTCAGGGCTGCTCAGTGACTGCGGAGGAAAGCGGGAGCGGTGGGACTGCAGTGTGTTACACAGCAAGGGGGATGGATGCTGGACGGGATGGGAAAGGGGAGAGAGGGGCATGTAGCAGTTGTTAGTGGGGAATCACTTGGCAAAGAAGCTGGGAAATGGCAGCAGCCCCAAGCAGGCAGCTGAAGGGCTGCTCTGAAGGGCAGCATCCACCTTGAGAGCTGGATGCCAAAGCTCTCCCTCCACATTCACCTCACAGCCCAGCTCTGCCTGCCTGCCATGCACCGCACCAGCGGGGAAGAGCCCTCTCAAAGGCCCCAGGAGCTCTTCCTGAGCAGCACCTGAGGGGACATGGCCAACTTCTGCCCACAGGCTGCACTGGTGCCCAGGGACAGAGGAACAAGACGGAGGCCAGGTTCCTCAACAGGAATTTGAAGCACCCCCAGGAGGGACAGCGGCTGGAGCTGGAGTGCCTGCGTTACCAGAGGAACAGACCCCTCTTCTGGATCCGACTGGAGAAAGATGGGAGACTTCACTTCATTGTCTCCTGCTACCCATGGTACTCTACCACCTATTATTGGGGTGACAAAAAATCTACGCAGTTAGAGGCATCACTGAGAGACAACACCTTCAGACTGGTGGTGAAGTCCTTCAGGGCACAGGATGAGGGCACCTATTTCTGCGTCAACTACATCAACCAGGAGCTGCACTTCAGCTCTGGACAACCCGCCTTCTTCCCAGGTCAGCAGCAGCTTCACCCACCTCGCTTACACCCACCTCCCCTGCCCCTGCCTTCTCCATCCGCCCATTGCCCACACTCCCCATGTCCCTGCTTCTTTGCCAAGCCGTCTCATCACACACGCTCTGCTCCTCCCCAGAGAGGCTCCCTGCCCTCCAGCTCTGCTCACGGTACCAGTCATGCCCAAACACACAGGTGGTCGCACAGCCCAGCAGCTCCTCCCCATCCCATCTGTGCGTCTGAGCTATGAGAGTTACAACGTCCGCAGCTCCCACATCCTTCCTCACCTTGCAATAATCCAGATTGTCCTAACAAATCCTGAATGCTGGAAACATCCCATAAAGTAACTCAGAGGTTAGGTGTGGGTTGGACTATGCAAAGAAAAGGTTCCTGGGTCTCTCAAAGAATTATTCTGAATAAGAAGGATCTGTGCATGTGCTGCTCAGGAAGTAGGAACCCTCACTTTCTATTTCCATGGTTGGGCAGTGTTTCACTGCATCATTTTTCAAAATGGGACCTATGAAGTTCCACTCCTGTCCTGCCTTGTCCTGGCAGTGGTGGCAGAAGGCAGTTTTATTCTGTTTTGCTGTATTCACTCATTTCTTCTTCCAGTCACAACAACAGCAGCAGCACCCACCACACCTGCAGCCACCACCCAAAGCAGCCAGCTCACTACGGAGGACATCTCCCAGCACAGCCCGGATACAGGTAACCCAGCAATGGGGAGGCAGAGGCTCTGCCTGCAGTGCTGCTTTGGTCATAAGAGGCCTAAATAAAGTCTGTGCTGACTTCAGGTGATTTCAAGATGCAAGCAGATGTCTGCAGCTGGGCCTTTCCTCTATCCTCTCTTTCTTCCTGCAGGAACATGCAATGAGAACACACTGAATTCCATCTGTGATGATTTCCTCTGGGTTCGAGTGGCTGGCACCGGCCTCCTGCTCCTCACTGCCATCACCATCACCATCACACACTGCCAAAGTAAGTCCCATTCTGACACCCTGCAGAGATTCCTGCAGCCTCACACCACAAAGCACAGCCCACACCCCAGGGGAGTGAGCTCTCTGCCTATGGCCCCATACAGACATTGCGTATCCAGGACACAGGGAATGCAGAAAGATGCTCTTAAAATTCCTATCCAGATTTTCCCCATCTCCAAGTTTATCACCAGAAGTATTTATCACACTCTGTGCTACCAGCAAATAGAATATAAGCAGTTAAAACTTATTCTAACAAACTGCATTGGCTAAAATAGCTATCTGGGTTGGAAGCATCAGAACAAAAACATTACTCAACCATTGATTTCTGCCACTTTGTGCTGATTCGAATTACCAGAGCAAATCCACTAGTTGCAATAATTTCTGCAGCATGCAGAACAAACCCTCAAAGACACACTGCTACAAGACGTACATTTTCTGTTAAAATTCATGGCTCGATGGTGTAATTTGCTAAAAGGAACCTTCAGAAACAAAAGAGATGACACAAAGGGGAAGGTAACCATTCAGAGGGATTCACACTGAAAGGCTCTAAGTCAGCACTGAGCCACCAGAGCAGACACAGGGCCTTCAGAGAATCTGTCTAATAGCACAGGTAGGTGTGTTTAGTCTGAACCATCCTAATACAGCATCTGCCATCTGCAGTAAAAGACTGTGATTTGAGAGTAGATTCAGAAATCTTCATTGTTGCTTCGGGTTCCTCCTTGCTAATGAGATCAGATGTTCCTATGCTAAGAGCAGGGAGGGTCAGCAGTGCTGCAATCAGCACAGCCACGCGTCACACGCGCTCACCACAAGCCGATCGCTTGCAGGACCAAGCTCAGCGTAAGCAAGCAGTGCTGCGTCGCTGCTCGGCAGAAGGCACACAGGCGTCCTCCTCCAGCACCGCACTGATCCCACCAGCAGCACACACAGCTGCCCTGATGCAGCGCCGCCGTTTGGCTGCTCCTCCTGTGCTGCCCACCAGCACTGCACACCTCCCGCGGCCTGACATGTGCTCCTGCCCCACTCTGCTGTGACACAGCCAGACCGCGGGCACAGCGCTGACCCGGAGAAGCCGGGCAGCTCCGTGCTGCTGTGCAAAAGGCACCGCGGTGCTGGACAGCTGAGCCTTCCGTGGATCACCAATAAACCACTCACATCAATACTCAGCTCTGATGCCCCAGTCTCTCTCTATTTTGCAATATTTTTCCCATTAAATGGTTGTAACTTTTGTCTCTTTCTCTGAGTTGTTTGGCTTAACTAATTCCAGGAAGGCCGAGAGTCTGAACTTGCCACCACCTGCCCCACTGGTGTTTCAAAAGAAGAAAAGATCCATTGGAAGGGCCACTCCAAAGTCTGCTGAAATAACTTCATGCTTGACCAGCGTCCACGATAGGATTTCTCTACTCCCTTTTCCACCTGAAATCTCCTCAACAGGCATCAAGAAAATGTCAACTCACCTCCTGCTGGGCCGCGTTCCTCAATTTGTCAACCTGTATGTTGCCTGCAGGATTTTGTCCCTCCCTTTTTGCGTGTGCCGTTGCTTAATTCTTAGTCATGAATAAACTGAACACAGACCAGTATCTCTACAGACTCCATATACATCGACCCATTTTGATTCTGTATTTAAAGGCAGGGAGGTCCAGCAGAACTGAAACTTCCTTTCTCTTGACATATCAAAGTGTGTAAGTTCATTTGCCACAACTTGAACCACCATCATTTGTTTCTTTTTGATCACTGCAATGACTTGAAACACAGCACAGGTAAGTTGGTCTACGCCGTGAAGACACATGTTTAACTTACTTAAATCAGAGGCCATATCCACCAGAAGCATTAAAACTGTCACAAGTTTTCAGTCTCACGTTCCTACACAAATGTTCCTTTTGATTCCAGAAATCATTTCATCTCAGTTTGCAAATCCTAAAACTGCTTAGCATTTTGCCATGACTTACATACCTTACTTTACAAAAGTAAATGATTTCTCCCTTATCAGCATTTGTGCTTTTAGGGAATGCCTGGAACTGGTGATGGTTCAATCCCTTGGGCTTCTTGAAATTCACACATTTGATGACAATTGACAGGACAGTCCCATTTTTAAAGCCTTTCTGCATATATTTCCCTGATGTACCATGCAGAGATGTTTCACCAAACCTGGATTTCTGGCAGCAAATCCGTTGTCTTCTATGAATTTTGTAAGTCCCACTTTTTTACCAACCACTGTCCGGGTGCCATCAGGAGCTCTACCAGATGCGCCAGCAAAGGTTAAATAAAATCCCTTTTACGCCATTTTTATTGCTTTGCCTGCATCAAAGGATTTCTTCATGTCTTTTAATGGTACCAAGGAAGCCATTTCTTCAGTGACATCATAGTTTTTAACACTTCCTTCCATGAAAACAGCAAGTTGAGTCAGCAGAAGGCACACAGGCGTCCTCCTCCAGCACCGCACTGATCCCACCAGCAGCACACACAGCTGCCCTGATGCAGCACCGCCGTTTGGCTGCTCCTTCTGTGCTGCCCACCAGCACTGCACACCTCCCGCAGCATCAGTAGCACCAGTAGGCATCTGTAGCATCAGTAATTTCATCTGTCAGCAAAAGATAGCTTCTGAAATTAACAGCTTTGCTACGCGACTTTCTTGCCACAGATTTCTCCATTTCTTCAGTTCACCCGGCAAGAGTTGAGTGACAACAACTGATTTTAGAGAAATCCCTGTTTTAATCAGGGCAGATTGCATCTGTGATGCTGTCTGTGCACTGCTCAATAAACTCACCACCAGCAGATGGTTTTGCTGCTTCTGCCATCAGATTTGCCACCACATCACTGGCCGAGTCCATCTGAGGTTAAACTCAACAGCAGTAACTCAGTTTTACCTCAACAAAGAAGTGCTCATCTATCCATTTCTCACTGAATACTTCCCCTTCAACCACAATTTTTCTTCATTTGAGGGTTCTGTTATGTCTTGAGAAGACGTCAGGAAGGCTGAAATGTTGCTATGGGTAATTACTGTGTCTCAGTCACCCAGTGGCACACATGGGTAACACACACAGGTTCTTGTTTGACTGAGTGTGTGGTGGGTGCCAGAGGTGGAGATAGCACAGCTCTGTGCCCTGCCCATGTCCTGGTGGAGCTGATGCGGAGCCAATCTCACCCTGCTGTGTGCCTGTGTCAGTGATGGGTGCACACAGAGGGCCGGGTCGCCCAGCAGGGCAGAGCTGCTGCCATGATGGCACGGGGCAGGAGGCGGCTGCAGGACACGGGCCAGGCAGCGTGCAGACCACAGGTTGGGCATGCCTGGAATAGAGAACTAAGTGCCTTATGAAAGCAGGCTGAAGTCAAAGGGATTCCTTATTTCGTCTCATTAACCAGCTCATTGCTCCATGGCAGAGTTGGTCACCAGTGTACAAGTTAGGAACACTTGCTGCTGTGGTGAAGCTGCTTGACCCAATGCACTGTCTTGTTGCGTTCTTCATTGTCCAGCTCTTTTTCACAAAAAAAAACAACCAGCACTTTCATCACTCGGCAGTGCCAGGTTTCTCACAGCCAGGAGCAGGGGTGTGCTTTCCAAAGGAGTAATGGAACAACACCTCCCACACTGAACAGAAGAAAAAGCAAGGAAGCCAGAAAATACCAAAAAAAGAATGAAGTAGCAGCAGAGCAAAGCTGTTGAGACAGTATGTGCTAAGCTGCAGGAAGTCAAAACCCTTACCAGTGTGTGTGGTCACCTAGAGATGGTAGGCTGGCCTCTGAATGCTGAAGCATGTATGGAGAGGTTTTTTGGCATGGCGGAAGTCCTTGTGGTTGGAGAAAGAAAAAAAAAAGCACAGGGTAACTCTTTGTTCTTTAGACCTGAATGCCACTGGGGCACTGGGCTGCCTTGGTGGGTGTCACATCACAGACCTCCTGCCTTGCACACAGTGGCTTCTGTAGAGAAATAACAAAGAACGATTGCAGAGAACAACAGAGCTGAAGTACCCAGATACGTATCAGCAATGCATGGGCTCGGAGATGAAAAGTGCAGGTGGAGAGATGCTGTAAAACATACCCAGGTCTTCTTTAATCTGCAAAAAGAAGTAAATAACACATAAAATAAAATATCTGCCAAGAAATACAACTTGCAGCCCATGTTCACGACACAGGACTGGACTTTGTATTCTGCAGATTTGGACATGATGAGAGAGTGGCCCAAAAGTCTGAGAGACAGCAGTCTGCAGCCACTGATCTGACTTCGAGGAGGAACGTCGTCCATCTGAATCTCAGCTGAGGACATTGCAGCAAAATCCCGGAAGCGCCATTAAATACAATGCTGCAACAATAAGCAAGCAGCAAGATTTGGGTCACAACTGAAGCTCTTCAGAAATCTTTTCTCATGCTATTCCATTTGAGAGGCTGAACAATGGCTCTTCACAGCAGAGGGTCCTGATGACATCACATCCTCTCCTATAAGTTACACAAGCTGCCTCCAAAGTGCAGTGAGCAACATCACCCGCGCTCCGCTGCACCGCCCCAAGGACCATGGCCGGGTCTCCTGCACTGCTCCTCCTGCTCAGCCTGGGGCTCTGTGAGTATGGAAGCAGGAAGGATGCAATTCAGGGCTGCTCAGTGACTGCGCAGGGAAGTGGGAGCAGTGAGACTGCAGTGTGTTACGTAGCAAGGGGGATGGATGCTGGACGGGATGGGAAAGGGGAGAGAGGGGCATGTAGGAGCTGTTAGTGGGGAATCACCTGGCAAAGAAGCTGGGAAATGGCAGCAGCCCCAAGCAGGCAGCTGAAGGGCTGCTCTGAAGGGCAGCGTCCATCTCAAGAGCCCGGCGCTCTCAACGCTGAGTCCACAGGGACTCCAGCACAGCACCCAAGCTGGACGCCAAGGCCTTTCCACCACATTTACCCTCACAGCCCGGCTGCCTGCCTGCCATGCACCGCACCGGTGGTGAAGAGCCCTGCCCAAAGGGCCCAGGAGCTCTTCCTGAGCAGCACCTGAGGGGACATGGCCGACTTCTGCCCACAGGCTGCACTGGTGCCCAGGGACAGAGGAACAAGATGGAGGCCAGGTTCCTCAACAGGAATTTGAAGCACCCCCAGGAGGGACAGCGGCTGGAGCTGGAGTGCCTGCCTTACAACAAGGACAGCGGTGTCTCCTGGATTCGACAGGACAAGGATGGGAAACTTCACTTCATCGTCTACATTTCTGTGCTTTCTCGGACCACCTACCCAGGGAGCAAGACAACATCTTCACAATTTGAGGGGTCAAAACAAGAAAACTCCTTTCGGCTGGTGGTGAAGAACTTCAAGGCACAGGACCAGGGCACCTATTTCTGCTTCAGCAACATCAACCAGGAGCTGCACTTCAGCTCTGGACAACCCGCCTTCTTCCCAGGTCAGCAGCAGCTTCACCCACCTCGCTTACACCCACCTCCCCTGCCCCTGCCTTCTCCATCCGCCCATCGCCCACACTCCCCATGTCCCTGCTTCTTTGCCAAGCCGTCTCCTCACACACGCACTTCTCCTCCTCAGAGGCTCAGGGCACTGTTGAGAAATTAGGAGACCACAGCATTCAATTCATATGGTTTGGCAGCATGTTGTGGCATCACTGTTGAAAATCCTTCCTGTGGTGGCCATGTTTCAGCTGGGGTGAGAGAAAGCTCTTGTATTCTATCTCACTGTATTCATCCAATTTATTTTTAGTCACAACAACATCAGCACCCACCACACCTGCTACCACCAACCAGAGCAGCCAGATCACCAAGAAAGACATCTGCATGCAGAGCTCAGATCCAGGTAACCCAGCTGTGGATAGATGAAACAAATGCCTATGCTGAGTACAGGCATTTTGGGATGCAGGGTGAGGGGAAATATCTTGAGCTTCATCAGTGAGATGCTGATGAGGGGATGAAACTAAAGCCATTATGGCATGTGCTGCCCAGGGAAGAGATGAAATCTCCTTTCCCAGAGGTATTCAAGAAATGAGCATATGTGGCACTGTGGGACATGGGTTACTGGGCCATTCTTGAACTAGATTTTCTTAGTGGGCTTTTTAAACCTCAGTGATTTCACGATTCCAAACCTAAGTTTTTTTCCCACTCGGGGTGACTTAAAAGGCACAGGAATTTTGATGACTGGACAACACCAAAAGAAGGGAAAGCATTTTGAGCCAGCACTGGTTTTAGCCCCAGAAGGAGAGAAGAGAGGACTTTGGCTACATGTCCTCCCTCAGCTCCCCAGCACAACGCCAACAGCATCAGCCCACAACTGGGGATGTCACCTGAGGACATGCCTGGTCCCCACCCCCCCCTTTGTGCCCTGTGGAAGTCCTCTCCTCACATACACCTACCGCCAGCCTCGCTCAGAGCCACGCAGCTCTGTGCTGCAGGACCTCCCAGTGGCTCTGCCACAGCTGGTCATCAGCACAGCTGGGAGACGGGCCTTTCCTCTTTCCTCTCCTTTCTTCCTGCAGAAACAAGCAACAAGAACATGCTGAATTTCTACTGTGAGATTTACATCTGGGCTCCCCTTGCTGGCGCCTGCCTCGTGCTCCTTGTAGTTCTGGTTGTCACCATCGTGCTCTGTCAAAGTAAGTCGCACCCTGACACCCTGCAGAGGTTCCTGCAGCCTCACACCACAGAGCACAGCCCGCTCCCCCAGGGGAATGGGCTCCCTGCCTACTGCCCTCACAGGACCTCTCATAAAATCATTTCCCATATTTTTCTTATCTACACATTTAGCTTCAGAAATACTTATCCCATCCTCCTGCCAGACAATAAATTACAAAGAGAGAAATGTTACTGCACCCAAGTGCACTGACTCTACCTTAGATCCTCAGACCAGCACACTGCCTTTAATATGCATTGGCTAAGGGCAGTGCTCAGTATCTCTCTGCATCCCACTGTAAGTTTGCAGTAGCAGTGAGTAAAACCTCAGCCCATGACACCCTCCTGGTTTGTAGATACGGATCACAGCCACGTGGATACAGACGTGGTCCCACGCCGGGTGGGAGCGTTGCCATTCACCTTCTTCAGCAGTAACTGCCGCCAATGGATTTTCAGCAGCATGCCAGGGTTGCTGGAGACAGTAAAAAGGAACTCAGCCCTGTGCCCCCAGCCTGACATGGCAGCTTTGAAGCCGAGTGCTGAGGGAACAGGAGCTGCAGCAGCGCCCGGCGCATGGCTTTCCCCACACACGAGCTCAGTTCGCATGCTCTCAGCCTGATAGGAGACAGGAAGGCAGTGAGTTGCTGGGGAATGCCAGCCCTACACAGCAGCTGCACTGCTTTCCTACCCTGTGACTTCATATCTCTGAACTGTTTGCTCTTTTCATTTTAGAGACCAGAAGACGACGATGCAGGTGTAAGAGGTCAGTATGTGACAAGGGGGGATGCTTTTGTCTTGAAGTCTGTAGCATTAATACTGGGCCATAAGGCAAGCAGGTGGCACAGGAAACACCGAAATGCACCTGGACTTTCTTCTCCCAGAGTGCAGTAGATAGGAGGGGACTGTGTAATTGTTGAGGGGGGGAGAGGGGGAAAAAAAAGAGATAAGCAAACAGAGAAAAGAACCTTACATCATTCAAATCCCTGAGCACTGATGACACTACACAAAGCCAGGATGCATCAGCAGAAGCCAAAACCCTCTGCACACCACCCAGTGCTCATCCCTTCCCTTCTCTCTCATCATCCCAAGCCTCCAAGAACACACTGTCAGAATAATCACGTTGCAGGCTGCAGTTTACCACTTTTGAACTCCCACTGCCCAGCAGCAGCAGGCACCTTGCTTCTGCAGCCTGACCTCCCTGCAGCTGGTCTCACCCAGCCTGCTCAGCAGAAAACCACTTCTGCACTCTGCAAGGTTGGTGCTGAGCCCAGTGCAGGGCTGTCACAGAGAAGTGCTCGACCACGGAAATCCCCAGTGCTGCTCCAGTTACACCAGCACCATGCAGGGGCTGCAAAAGAGAGGCTGCAAGCAGCAGTTTCATATCTCTGCAGCTTTCTCTGCAAATGGAGCCATTTGCAGCTGATAAATTCAGCCTGCTGGTTACATGTCCACGAGTTTCATAGACAAGAAGGAGATATGTTTTATAAACAATTTAATTGCTCACTGCTACTAATAGGGAAAACCTCTCTACTCACATTTACTGAAAAGGGATCCCTACATCTATGTTTGCAGCCACTGCAGAATATTGGGGCTTTTATTTAGAGAGGCACCTTCTGGTGCCACTGGCTGAGACAAGGCCTATTTCTATTCTATTGGAAGCCTATCTCTTATCATTATTTTAACTATTGCTTAGCAGCATACAGATGCTGAAAGAGTGCAAAGGGGACGCAGCGATGCTTGCAGCTGGCTAGGAGGTCCCAGGCTGCACCGTGAGCTGAGCAGCAGGATGGGAACTACCTCCCTGCTCACTGCACATCCAAATAAATCCTTTTTTCCCCTCTCTAGACCTCCAAATGGGAAGCCTGGTGCAAAACCCAGTGTACCAACCCGACACATATGAGCAGCTGCAGCGCCCGGCTGCTGGTCAGCATCTGGGAGCCACTGCTGCCAAAGGCAATCTGCCACATAGCTACTAGTCTTCGAGCATGCTATCCTGAGAAATCCAGAAAGACAGCAAAGGAGCAGAGTCACACAGAGCCAGCACCTCCCTGAAGCACAGCTCTTACTGAACCAGAACTTTTCCATTGGATTCCAAAGGCCCAACACCACCTTCAGACCCAGCAGAACTCTGTGGTTCCAGCAGAAGAAAGCAGTCGATCCTGATGCAAAGACCCATCGGTGACAAGTGGATGAGAAATAAGGATATTGACTGATCTGCCCCCTTTTTTGTGGTGCTGTGCAGCCCCCTCAAAGTTTCACAGAGTCACAGAACGGCTCATGTTGGAAGGGACCTTACAGACCATCACATCCCAACCCCAGCCATGGGCTGGGTGCCACTACCGGGTCAGGCCGCCCAGGGCCCCATCCAACCCAGCCCTGAGCAAAGTTTCATCTCATATAACATAGGGCTGCACTGAGAAAGCAAACAAGGATATAAAGGCTGTACTTTTGGGAGTTTTACACTCCTGCAGGCTGAAGTTTCTTATTTCCCCTTTGCTCCCTTCATCCTGCTGCTAACCCCACACCCACTGTGCTCAGCACTTCCACCTGGGCACAAAGTGGGACTTCCCTTCTTTCTGGAATAACTGGTTGAGTATCAATAAATTAACAGCCTCTGTTACTTGCTTTGGCTAAGCAGGACTTTCAGCATACTTGGGGCACTGCGAGCAAGAGTTGTTTATTTTTTCACCTCTGTGCCTGATGTAAATATTTCCTCATTACAGTGACACGTCAACACCTGAGATAAAATAAAGCAACGTTTCCAGACAGATTCACTAATGCTTCTTTCTTTCTTTGCTTTCTGGCCTCAGAGAAGCCAAAACCCCATGTGAAAACCTGAGAGTTTGAGGCAGTCACATATGTAAAGCATCAGACGCCGCAGTTTAGGTTCCAATTGTCCTTGAGACAATCTCTGCATTGATTTTCTCAGGGAGATGCAGGATGGGTCCAGAAACACTCAGTGCACCATGAAGGTGGAGGAGATAAAGGTTTTGGTGTTGTCTCCAAGCGGCTGATAAAGGCCTGGGGAAAACAAAGAACATGAAGCTTTTTGCAGAGGGGGGGACAGCAGGACAGCTGGGGATGAGAGAAGCTGAGAGAGAAGCAGTTTTTCAGCTTAGCACCAATCATACCAAACTGAAAGAAGACAGAGTAAACAAACACATCTAAAGCTCATCCCTGCTTCACCATCCTCTATAGCCGTTTCCTCACTGTTCTCAGTCAATGCATTGCAGTTTTTGGCAGCCCCCCGTGCACCGCATGCAGCCACCCTCCTGTAACTCAGGCAATGCTCCAACAATGTTACCCCAAAAATCCTCTCCCAGCAGCTCAGGCAGTTCCCACACCAAGTGCAACCCTAGTGCAGGAATTATCTTTGTGCCTCACGTGGCACAGACGCAGCCACACAGGTATTGAGATGCAAGAAAATAAAAAGCAATCCTAACTAAGGAAATACAAAGCGCCTCCCAAACAGAAAACCAGGTGTAGCATTTAACTGTAAAGCACTTCAGAAAAGAAAGTGCAAGCAGCTCAGGCAGATGAAAAGATGAAGCTCTACAGCTGGCATGTCTCATACAGCAGCTCTTCGCACTGATGTTAGCCCCACTGGTTGCAGATACCTGGCTGTGCACAACATGGTAGGTGACGTACACTGAGATAAAGGCATTAACACTCAACAGAGAACCTGGCAGAAGCAATTACTCTGTATTCTTTCCTCTGTATGCTCTGATGCTCTTTAAAACAATACAATCTATGTGTGCAATATAGAGCTCTGCTACTATGAGAGCCCCCGGAGGTCAATTCTGCAGGGAAAAGCAGGCAAAGCACAGCAAAGCAACACTTTAAGTAGTGAAATACGCATATTTGGACATTAGCAGGTACTGATGTTACATAGATGCTCCACTGTGCAGGGCTGCACCAAGATCCTGGTCCTGGAGGGAGACTGACGCAGGCAAAGCCATCCCAACACCACAGATGAGTGCAGTGAAGGACCTGGAAGCAGCACACACTATAAGGAATCTTAACTTGCACATGAAATCCAACATTTTGGGGAAAAACTACAATGCTGCCAGGTGCAATTTCCCTCCTGAACACAGAATAAAATTCAGTGGGAGCAGGCACTGAAGCTCAGCCCATTCTCCTGAAGCTAAAGCTGGCATGTGATGTGCACCCTGTGGAAACCATGCCATGCTGCTGCTTCAGGACACAAAAAGTACAATAAGGGAAAAGAAATAGTGACAGAGACCTGAGAAACACAGTAGAGGCAGTAAAATATGATTCTCCTGTAAAGAGGTTTCTTCCTTCTGATTCATCTCATATAAAACCTACTCAACACCCAGGGTCAGCACGACCTGCCCATCACTGAGCTCATTCCAGTTTGCACTGACACTGTGCTGCTAAGCTACATTCAAAGTAACCCACCGGATAGTGGAAAAAACCCAATAGTTGCAAAGCAGAATACAAACTGGGCCAGACTACCAGGGCTTTGTATTTGGAATGTGCAGATAAGGCTGTGCTTCTCCATGGAACCTATTGATACTGCTACCCAAATGCATACCATCAAGGCAGAGCTCATGCACAGGCAGCCATTAACACAGGCATGGAGGAAACAAGGCATTATCCTTTAAGTTAACCCACACATTGAAAATCATGGAGGAAAAAGCAAAAGTTTAACCTTCAAAGGCAGCTGGCAAGGAACAACAGACTGTTATCTCACACATCTTGTTAAACCACATTTCTCTTGTGCATAAATATTGAGGCTTGCATTAAGTTTCGAGTAAAAACCCAACGTTGCATTACATCTTTACTCATTATAGATCATCTCTGGTGCTCTCTCATCTTTTTATTCTGTTCTCAAAGCACTGTTCCCTACACTGGAAGGAAGAGCACAAGAATGGGAATGGTTTATAGGGCATAACGTTTCCAGAGACACGCCAGTCCCTGCAGGGAAAAGCAAAGAGAAGAAAATAGTATTTTGAGGTAGGCAAACTAATCTTGCAAGGAAAACCAAACCCAAACTTACTGCTCTTTAAATGCAGTGAGTTGGCCCTACGTAGCCATAAATAACCTGAAGGCTGAAGTTTAGCAACAGTCGTGTTGTACAACGCAATAAAAAATGAAAGCAACAGGAGGAGTGAAATCTAAGTTAGCAGGGATCAAAAGCTCTAACTCATTCCTTCTAATGTATAGCTTCTGCTGCAGCTGCTATGCGAGTTAATTAAGCTGACTTATGGACAGAAGACTCAAATCAATATTTCAGCAGAGAAACACTGATTTTTAGCAGGCATGGCTGAATGACCAACCTGCAATTGCTGCCTGCAATTTACAGCACTGAAGACCCTGCAGGAAAAGATTTTCCTTGTTCAAAAATACCTCACAGAGCAGCAGATCACCGACAGGGCTGAAGGAGCCAAAGGACACGGGCTTGTTGCAACATCACGGTCACAGCACCAGGAAAACATCCAATGGCTTTTAACCAGCACTTGAAGTCAAAGGTTACGTGCTGGTTTCATTGCAGCTCCAAGTCCAGCGCAGCAGGCAGAACACAGTGATGTGGATACATACAGAACCTTCCACTTACTGTGCAGCACTCTCATGAAAAGGCACCGCAGTGCAAGGGGATCAAAATTTGGCACAGAAGCTCAGAGATAACTGCAGTACTTTAAAATGCCTTAGAAGCACGAAGCAGAAGTATTTGATTTTAAAAACACCGTGGATGTTTCCAAACTGCAGTGCAGAAAATGGACGCATTGGCTGCTGATCAGATCTGACATAAGAAAGCCTCCTGTTATTATTCACTCTTTGGGCAAAGGAAACAATTCAGGCAGTAGGAGATAAACAAAAGGCAGCTCTAGGAACCAAAGCGCAGGCAGTGCCTCACAACCACCCAGCACCTCATGCACATAAGCACTCTGTACTCAGACAACGAGCATCATCTGTTGGCGGAGCTTCAAAACTGCAAGCAGTTAGCCAGCAGCACACAGCTAGGGAAAGAACAGTCAACACTGTAAATTAGCTATGTGTCCATAATGTGAACTATTTAGAAAACAGCATCACACTTAAATTCAATTCAGAACTTTTCCAATGCACTGCCAACTAATATCTGCCATTTTTGTACTCAGAGAACTGCATCAGAGGCATTTTCAACATGGGTTTATGTTCACACCAGCACCAAACCACCAGCAACGTGACAGAACAACACAGTAAAGTGCAAGGTTTTGCATTTGGGCCAGAGCAATCCCAGGCATCCTTACGGACTGGAAGGAGCGGTCCTTGAGAGCAGCCCTGCAGAGAAGGACCTGGGGGTCCTGATGGATGAAAAACTGAATGTGAGCCAGCAGCGTGCTCTTACAGCTCGGAAGGCAAGCGGTATCCTGGGCTCCATCAGAAGAGGGGTGGTCAGCAGGGACAGGGAGGTGATTGTCCCCCTCTACTCTGCTCTCGTGAGGCCCCATTTGGAGTACTGTGTCCAGGTTTGGAGCCCCCCATACAAGAAAGGGAGCTGCTAGAGAGGGTCCCAGAGGAGGGCAACGAAGATGATCAGGGGACTGGAGCACCTCCCCTATGGAGACAGGCTGAGGGAGCAGGGCTTGTTCAGCCTGGAGAAAAAAAGGCTGCAGGGTGACCTGATTGTAGCCTTTCAGTACCTAAAGGGAGCCTACAGAAAGGAGGGGAATCAACTCTGTGAAAGGGTTGATAACTGCAGGACAAGGGGAAATGGTTTTAAATTAAGGGAGGGAAGATTTAGGTTGGATGTCAGGGGGAAGTTCTTTATAGAGAGAGTGGTGAGGTGCTGGAACAGCTGCCCAGAGAGGCTGTGGATGCCCCGTCCCTGGAGGTGTACAAGGCCAATTGGATGGGGCCCTGGGCAGCCTGGTCTGGTATTAAATGTGGAGGTTGGTGGCCCTGCATGTGGCAGGGGGTTGGAGATTCATGGAGGTCCTTTCCAACCTGCCATTCTGTGATTCTGAGAACAGAGCTGTTCCTTGGGAACTGTTTTTTTTCCATTTAGTCCATATGTCATCACGTTTCAGTACAAAGCAACTCCACGCAAAAGAAAAGATGGAAAACAATGTCACCAAGACTAGGCAACCTACATGGAAAATAATATCCTCACCTGTTTATTGTTAGTTTTACCACTCGGTAACCTGGTTGGTTGGAACTCAGTGTGAATACAACAGAAGTTTTGCAGAAAGTCACACACCTGCATTGTTCACACGAACCAAACGCATTTCAGGCTCAAAATTTGTGTGCCTCGACTTGTTGCTCTTCGTGTCTCTTTCAGGACATCCATTGTCACTGATCCGACAGAGTCCAACTCAGTCTCTCAAGCCAGGTGACACACAGATTCAAGAGGTGGAGATGTCTCACAGACGGTCTTCTCTGCAGTGCATGGTGCTAGTGCATTCAACCAGTGTGTCAGAATTCAACCGTGTCAGCTTGGGTGTTTTACTCCACAATACAGGAATAGAATTTTACACGTAGCTTCGCATGCCTTATGGCTGCTCGCCCTACTATAGGACAGTGCAATAAATACAAATATCTGCACACTAGAAAAAGATTGAACTGCCATGATCTACACCTTGTTCATGAGTACAAATTTACCTAGTCAACAATATGACAAATTTAGCAGAAAAAGTGGCAATGGCAGTAATAGTCTACTACAAAAACAAGGCTAGAAGCAAAGTGTTCTCAAGCTACAGAAAACTTGCTACCTCCTAATACGTGACGTAGGGCCCAATTCTGCCAAGTGCAGCGTCGTGACCAGAAGAC